GCAACTGGAGTAGGAGCTAGTGTAAGCTCAGCCTCAGCCAAGAGGGCAGGAGGCGAACAAGAAGAAAGGTCACGCAAGAGGTTGGAAATGTCACCAACCAAAGGTCAGAAAAGACTTGCAGACTCAGGAGGCGAAACGTCAAAACCCAAAGACAGCCGAGCTGCTTCAGCTCAGGCGTCTAAGGGCACCAAACGGCCACCTGAGACTGAGAGACCAGATGACATGGATGATATAGACCAATGTCTTATGAACCTGATCATGGAAGATCGGGAGAGGTATCTTCAGTCCATTGAAGGTGAAGAAGAGCCAGTTTGCGAAGAAACAATTCCTCTTCCACCGGAGTTGGAAGATGAAGCAGTTACATGGTATTATTATGATGATATCAGTGGAAAGATTTTGGACAGCAAAGGTGTAGAACAAGCCAGAAAAGATGAGGTCGAAATTATTGAAAGTTTTCCGGTTTGGGAAAAGATTCCCAGACACAAGATGCTCAAAGGGGTACGCACCATTGGAACACGATGGGTAGATGTCAACAAGCAGGATGAGGAGAATCCACTTTATAGAAGTAGGTTAGTAGCTCAAGAAGTCAAGAAGGGCTCAGGTTTTGATGAGTTCTTCGCAGCCATGCCCAGTTTGTCTGCTTTGAAGATGCTAGTTACAATAGCCGTCACGTTTCAGTTGCCAGACGCTGGAAAAGCTGTCAAGGAAGCCTATCGCAAGCGTAGACTTCTAGGATTCCTGGATGTGAAACGCGCTCACTTTTATTCAGATGCGACGCGCGAGATTTACGTGGAGCTTCCTGCAGAAGCAAAGAAGCCTGGAGAAGATGTGGTAGGAAGATTGCGCAAGTCATTGTATGGAACAAGAGATGCACCTCTCAACTGGGAGTTGCAGATACAGAAGGTCATGTTGGCCTTAGGTTTCAAGCAAGGAAAAAGCAATCCATGCATATACTACCATGCAGGCCGAGACCTCAGAACTGTTGTACATGGAGATGATTTTACAACAGCCGGAACATTTGACAACATCAAATGGCTTCATGAAGAGCTGTCGAAGAAGTGGAAATGTGTGGAACGTGGTATTTTAGGACCACCAGGAACAAACACCATCCAGGACATCAGAGTCCTGAACAGAATTATCACATGGAAGGAGAATGGAATTTGGTGGGAACCAGATGCACGTCATGCAGAGTTGGTGATTGATTTACTCGGAGATGGTCCCCGAGGAGCCAAAGTCAAGACACCACTTGCCAAAGGATCAGTGGAAGATCTTAAGGATGCCGCTGTTTTTCTCAACGATGAAGAAGCAACCCAGTATAGATCAGTTGCAATGCGAGCAGCTTATTTGGCACAAGACCGACCAGATTTGCAAGTAGCAACAAGATCTTTAGCACAAGGGCTACAACGACCAACTACCAGCCACATGCTTATGCTCAAAAGAGTTGCACGATACCTTAGGTATCGACCACGCATGGCACAATTCTTTCCTCATCAGAACAAACTCAGTCCATTTGTGATGTGGTCTGATGCTGACCACGCTGGATGCGTGAAGACGAGGAAGAGCGTGTCAGGAGGCGTCTTGATGGCCGGTGGTTGTTGTATCAAGATTTATTCTAAAGGACAAGGAGTTGTTAGTCTTTCGTCTGGAGAGAGTGAGTATTACGCTCTTGTGAGCGGTGCCAGCAATTTGCTGGGAGAAGTTTCAACCGCCAAAGACTGGGGTTTGCAACCTGAGAGTGAAGTTTTCATGGATGCAAGTGCAGGAATAGCAATGGGTTCACGTAGAGGATTAGGCAAGGCCAAGCACGTGGATACTCAATACCACTGGGTACAAGACCGCGTTGCCAAGCACTACTTTCGGCTGAAGAAGGTCGACACTGGCGATATGCTTGCCGACGTCTTGACGAAACCTGTCATAGAGGAGAAGATGAACAAAGCCCTGCGGAATATGAACTTTCACTTTCTGGAAGGTGAACATCACCTGACACTGAAGGCATAGATGGCTTGAGTCGTGGCTATGCGTAGCTGTACATATCAAAACTCGCCTAGTTCAAAACACTTGGACTCACCGTGCCTCCGAACAGGCTCGGGAGGCGTGATCAGATATGTGTACAGTATAGACCATGTTACATGTAGTACATATGTTTGTATATGTGCTGCAGCCATTTTAGCCATTTTAGTGCTTTTAGCTACCTTCGAGCTAACCGAGTGAAAAGGTGCTGAACAGTGCTCAGGAGTGTTCATCAGATTTAAGAGCCCAATTTCTCTGTTCATAATTGAGTGATGTTTAACTAAGACATTTGTTTATCAAACCTCTGTCACATGTTTGGAAGCCCTGGCGAACAAAACAGCTGTAAGTAGTTACGTTAGTGACGCTTTTTGGTTAGTTCTAGTATGCTACAGTTGTAGTATGTTATAGTTATAGTACCCATAAACCATAGTTAATCAACTTGCAAGTCAACTTATAGCGAACTATGGGTCACCACCTTTTTGCATTTCGACATACGTGGCAGCAAGAAGCGATGCAGCAAAAAGCGCTGCATGCTTCGTAATATTGTAGTATATCTCAATCTATCCCATATTCGGGGGCTGACACATGCCGAAATCACCCACTTACTTGGATATGGCTCAAAATGATTGAGCTTATTTTGGGATTGGTACCATCTTCTTTGGCCACACTGATATTTAATGTCCACCTCTGATTTATAAATAGGCCCCCCCCCCCCCTTCCTCTCTGACCCTAAATAAACTTAAAACCACCATAAAACTTGTTTGTATGTAAAGGTTTTAAATTACCACAATTGAAAACGAATACATAAAATGCAATTTCAAAAAAAAAGGAATCCAGCAATTGTTTTAGTATTGATCTTGTACTCATGTCATGGACTTAGTATTGATTTAGTATTCATGTCATGGATTCAGTATTGATCTAGTATTCATATCATGAATTTAGTATTGATTTAGTATTCATGTTATGGATTTAGTATTGATCTAGTACTCATGTCATGGATTTAGTATTGATTTAGTATTCATGTCATGGATCTGGGCAAATCTGGGTTTAGGGCCAAAAACAATTAGCTTTATTCAGGGTCAAACTCTAATTAGTGCCAAGGCACCTCATGGGGGGTACCCTTGACGAGTTGATTTGGGATTGATTTTGGATAATTTTGAATAAAGGTTTTGAATAGAAAAGAGCAACCATTATTTTTTGAAAATTTGAAGTTATCAAGGTAAGATCTAATGAGCTGGCAATATGAATTAGTACATGAAAGCCACCTCAAATAAAGCATGGAAAAAACAAAATCAGCCCCATCTGGGCAAATCTGGGTTTAGGGACAAAAACAATTAGCTTTATTCAGGGCCAAACTCTAATTAGTGCCAAGGCACCTCATGGGGGGTACCCTTGACGAGTTGATTTGGGATTGATTTTGGATAATTTTGAATAAAGGTTTTGAATAGAAAAGAGCAACCATTATTTTTGACAATTTGAAGTTATCAAGGTAAGATCTAATGAGCTGGCAAATGCTGGCAATATGAATTAGTACATGAAAGCCACCTCAAATAAAGCATGGAAAAAACAAAATCAGCCCCATCTGGGCAAATCTGGGTTTAGGGCCAAAAAAAATTAGCACTATTTAGGGTAGTTTTATTATTTATAGTACATACCGTTATTATAGAAGATATTCGGGAATTATCGGAAAACCGATCTTCTATTTGAAACGGGTTTGGACGCGCGGAAAAAACCATTTCAAATAGAAGATAAATTAATTCAATGACCCAAAATGGTAGAACATCCGGGATGTTGGAGCTACTTTGGCACTCTCCGCAACCATGGTCCCGGGAGGGTCCAAACTAATATCTTCTATTTAAAAACCATTTAGATCAACACCAAAAGCACAAACTTGGTGGATCATACAACCGAATATCTTCTATTTAAAAAATGGTTTGTCGCACAATCTTGTTCTGAGAATTTGGGGTTGGTATAATGAATATCTTCTATTTGAAATGGTTTTTTCCATTTCCCCATTAGTTGTTTGACAATATCTTCTATTTGAAAATGGTTTGTCGGTCAATCGTGTTTTGAGAATTTGGAGTAAATATGGGTAAATACATGTGCATATAATGAATATCTTCTATTTGAAATGGTCTTTTCCGCTTCCCCATTGGTTGTTTGACAATATCTTCTATTTGAAAATGGTTTGTCGCCAATCTTGTTTTGAGAATTTGGGGTAAATATGGGTAAATATATGTACATATAATGAATATCTTCTATTTGAAATGGTCTTTTCCGCTTCCCCATTGGTTGTTTGACAATATCTTCTATTTGAAAATGGTTTGTCGGCCAATTTTGTTTTGAGAATTTGGGGTAAATATGGGTAAATATATGTACATATAATGAATATCTTCTATTTGAAATGGTCTTTTCCGCTTCCCCATTGGTTGTTTGACAATATCTTCTATTTGAAAATGGTTTGTCGGCCAATCTTGTTTTGAGAATTTGGGGTAAATATGGGTAAATATTTGTGCATATAATGAATATCTTCTATTTGAAATGGTCTTTTCCGCTTCCCCATTGGTTCTTTGACAATATCTTCTATTTGAAAATGGTTTGTCGGCCAATCTTGTTTTGAGAATTTGGGGTAAATATGGGTAAATATATGTACATATAATGAATATCTTCTATTTGAAATGGTCTTTTCCGCTTCCCCATTGGTTGTTTGACAATATCTTCTATTTGAAAATGGTTTGTCGGCCAATCTTGTTTTGAGAATTTGGGGTTGGTATAATCAATGTCATGCGTTTAAGTTGGTCGTTTCCGATCCCCCATGGTTTCACGATGTTTCACGGCTAACATATTCTATTTAAAAGTATGTTTTATGACACCTGGTGGCGGGTTCATTTCGTCAATGCAAATTCTATTCCACAGCGGATTCATGGATTTGTTGGTTTATTTTACATCTCAAGCTATTTCCAACCACAACTCCCAAAGCTTTGTCCGCCATGGGGCCTCCCCAGCCCTTGGTGGATAATTTTCGCTGGGCCCATGAAAGTGTGGCCTGGATGAAAATGCATGCCAAATCCACCTGGTTTTTCGAAACCAGAGATTTGCCTCTATCCAGTTGGTTTTCTGGATACGGCTGCTCCGAGCTGGCGGCCGGGTTTCTCAATGCTGCTCGGCGGAGAGTTGCGGGGGAAGATGAGAAGGATTCTGACGCATTTTCTGCTGCCCATCAATTTGAGATCAACGTCAAAGCCAGGACTGCTGCCAAGGAGCAGTTGCCCGAGCATTCGTGCCAGTTTGTAGACATCATGAGGATTTTGAATGATGATGATCGCAAAAAGTTGCTCAAAATGGAGAAAGATGAGACCAAGGGAGAGAAAGACTTCTGGGATTTCCTTAAAACAGTGGATTTGTCGACTCACAGTTTGTGCGCGAAGCATTGTGAAAGGCCTCGAGGGCCTTACTGGTTTGGGTGGGAATCGAGAAAAAACAAACAATTTATATACATGGGGCCAGCGGCATTTACCCACTATATATATATGTATATATATATAAATAATATCCACATTTTTCGAATTTGTTCTTGTTGAAGTCCACATGTCCAGTTTCTCATCCGATGCTGGTATCCTAAGCTACAAATAACTCTTCTCAGTTTAAACAATTGCAGAATTCAACTTAAAAAGAGGCTGGACATACATGTTTTAAATAGAAGATATTCAGAAACATTATCTTCTATTTGAAGATTTCAAGATCTGTTTTGCCAAATCCTGCCTCCCTGCAGTTGCGAGCTGACCATGTCCATCCTAAATGTCACCGGATCCCAGCGCGTTCACTATTCAACTTTGGGCAAAAAACAAGATGGTCATCTCCAGAAGAATGAAGGTCCTGCCAACAAGCTATTCCTTCTTTGGATTTGTTGGCATGGCAAGCATCAAACCCCAATACTACTCCATGAAAATGTGGTAGGATTCCTCTCAGACTACTTGAAAGAGAAGGCCGAGGCGTTCGGATACAAGCATTTAGGCACCATGCGGGCAACTGGCGCAGACTGCAATCTCCAGGTGAACTCCCGCAAGCGCGTGCACCCAGACCGAATGAACGGCCCAAACAAATTTATGGGAATATCTTCTATTTGAAAAAGGAAAGTAACACACACACACAATCATCCACCGACCCCAGTTTTTCAGAATGGCATCTATTTGACATGGAAAAAACCCTACTATATATTCCCCGACCCTGAAGGCATGTAGATCATGGAGCCATGTTGGGAAATATCTTCTATTTGAAATGGGAAAGGACCCTCAATACTCCACCAAGCTTGACGGGATGAAGATCAAGTACATTTTTTACGAATATCTTCTGTCTTAACTGGCACTTCCTTAGGTATGACGTGCTGATCTTGGAACAGTTCTTTGAGGTTGTCGATGACCCTGTTGAAGTTTATCAGAGAATTTCGGCTTTTCTCCAAGAGAAGTTGCAACCTGTCACTATGGGGCATGTTTGTTGGGCAACCGACCTGAAAGACATCCTGCATGAGGTTCAAGAGAACTACAACAAGTCATGTGGACTGTCGTTGACAGAGGTTTCTGACATATTCTCCAATGGGGATGGGGATTGGTTGAAGCTCCTTAGCAAAACTGAAAGGGACAACTACGCAAACTATCTGGAGAAACTTGAGATGACCGACATTCCCACAATGAAAAGAGAAGCTCGAGGTGTGTGCGTGGCACAAAACCCAGATGTGGTGTGCATGAGTGGCAGTGCTGAAGCCCTTCCAGCATTCACCCGAGAGTCGACCAAACGCATCATGATGACAAACAAAGATCGGTGGATTCTGGCACTCGAAAAACTGGCAATTTCTGGTTTCCCAGTGCACAAGGCCGGCAGTTGATGGCTTTGTGACATCAAGTTTGCGAATATATTCTAAATGAAATAAAATCTTACAGGGGTAAACATGGTAAAATCTGTCTTTACCTGCAACATGCTGACTCAGTTGGAATATCTTCTATTTGAAAATGGGTTTGACATGGGAAAGTAACCCCAAGAATCCACCAACCCTCACACCAGGAAGCTGTCAAACTCATATTTTGGGAATATCTTCTATTTGAAGCCGGGTTTGACATGAGGAAGGTCTCAAATCCATTTTTGGGAATATCTTCTATTTGAAAACGGGTCTGACATGAGAAAGTGACCCCAAAAGCATACTCCATATCTCACATGAGGAAGGTCCCGGATCCATATTTTGGGAATATCTTCTATTTGAAAACGGGTTTGACATGAGAAAGTGACCCCAGAAGCATACTCCATATCTCACATGAGGAAGGTCCCGGATCCATATTTTGGGAATATCTTCTATTTGAAAACGGGTTTGACATTTAAAAAAAATCCAAGAATCCACCAACCCTCAAATCAGGAAGGTCTCAGATTCATATTTCGGGAATATCTTCTATTTGAAACCGGGTTTGACATGGGAAAGTAACCCCAAGAATCCACCAACCCTCACACCAGGAAGCTGTCAAACTCATATTTTGGGAATATCTTCTATTTGAAACCGGGTTTGACATGGGAAAGTAACCCCAAGAATCCACCAACCCTTCCCTGAAGAAGCTCTCAAACCCATATTTTGGGAATATCTTCTATTTGAAACTGGGTTTGACATGAGGAAGGTCTCAAATCCATTTTTGGGAATATCTTCTATTTGAAAACGGGTCTGACATGAGAAAGTGACCCCAAAAGAATACTCCATATCTCAAATGAGGAAGGTCCCGGATCCATATTTTGGGAATATCTTCTATTTGAAAACGGGTTTGACATGAGAAAGTGACCCCAGAAGCATACTCCATATCTCACATGAGGAAGGTCCCGGATCCATATTTTGGGAATATCTTCTATTTGAAAACGGGTTTGACATTAAAAACAAATCCAAGAATCCACCAACCCTCAAATCAGGAAGGTCTCAGATCCATATTTCGGGAATATCTTCTATTTGAAAACGGGTTTGACATAGGAAAGTACCCCCAAGAATCCACCAACCCTCACACCAGGAAGCTGTCAAACTCATATTTTGGGAATATCTTCTATTTGAAAACGGGTTTGACATGAGGAAGGTCTCAAATCCATTTTTGGGAATATCTTCTATTTGAAAACGGGTCTGACATGAGAAAGTGACCCCAAAAGAATACTCCATATCACATTAGGAAGGTCCCGGATCCATATTTTGGGAATATCTTCTATTTGAAAACTGGTTTGACATTAAAAAAAAATCCAAGAATCCACCAACCCTCAAATCAGGAAGGTCTCAGATCCATATTTGGGGAATATCTTCTATTTGAAAACGGGTTTGACATAGGAAAGTACCCCCAAGAATCCACCAACCCTCACACCAGGAAGCTGTGAAACTCATATTTTGGGAATATCTTCTATTTGAAACCGGGTTTGGCATGGGAACATAACCCCAAGAATCCCTCACATGAGGAGGGTCTCAAATCTAGTTGAAAATCTGGGGTTGCCTTGCCAGGATTTGGCTGAAGCAGCAGGGGTGCCTTTGATCCAAATCGAAAAATTTGATGGGTGGCACCGGTGCGTGGGAAATGGCATGATCATACCAAATGTTGGTGTGGCCATTGCTGCTGTGATGAGTTCTTTGAAGCCATTGCCTGCGTTGCAGGCCCATCGGTTGTTCCCAAATCACGGCTCACATGGTTTCCAGATTGAATATATGCATGTATGTATTTATGTATGTATGTATGTAAGTATGTATGAATGTATGTATGTATGTAGGTAGGTATGTATGTATGTGAATATATATATATATATTTGTGTGTGTGTGTGTCAACGAAGCTAGGTCACAGAGGACCACTGGTATTCCTGACAATTGGAGCCCAAATAAGGAAATTATATATAGAAGATAATATGTATTATTATCTTCTATGTGAAACTTTGTGAATCTTGTTTTCTGAATATTATATAATATATCCTCCAAATCCGTTGTCCGTCCCGCAACAGACCAGCTGTCGTTTTGTAGGCCTACTTGGAAAAGGCTCTCACTCAGAGGAGCATGCAGGGGATACCGCAATCCCTCAAGTGGCACGGGGGATGGAAAAAGTGGACTCTTGAAATTTCTGGAACTACGCACCAGTTCAGCAATAGAGAGGATGCTTTGGCTGCCGCCAAGTGGGCCAAACACACTAGGGCATCTCTGGAAATCCAAACCAGAGACCAGCTCAAACCAGAAATTGTGGCAGCAGCAGTGAAAGGCGGCAAGAAGAATAAGGACGATATGGTAGAATGCGTGCTGCGGCTTCGGTACCGCAAATCCGGCTTCAACTGCTCTTGCTGCAACGAGGCTTGGTGTATATATATATACATACATGTCTTCCCATTATCTCTTGAATTCCGCCAATAAATATGCATTATCTTCTATTTGAAAACTGGTTTTCCAACATTTTTGATCACCCCACCATCTGATATACCATCCCTTGCACACGGCGTAGCCTCTCGTGAGGCAGCTGCTTCGGGCAAGGACGAGAAGGACAATCCGAAGGAAAAGGAGGCACAGGTTCCAATGCTCTGTGATGTTCTTGGGGTTGCTTTCAACAGTTTTTTTCTCATAAAACATCTGTTGTGATTCCATCACTTGAATATCTTCTATTTGAAAACGATTTTGGCATTGCATGGGAATAACCCCGCTCAGTTGCAACGGAACGAAATACACCAGCTCCGGAGGCATCTGCTCCAGCGAAGAAAGGAAAAGCTGCAAAGGAAAGCAATAAGAAGGACGCACAGGCCTGCACGTCTTGGGATGGTTTTGTGCTACCAGATTCAAAAAAATATTTAGAACATATATAATTTATATGTATATATATGTCTCTTCCCATCATGTCTTGAATTCCGTCAAGAGGTCAGGTTTGCATTATCTTCTATTTGAAAACTGGTTTTCCAACATTTTTGATCATCCCACCATCTGATATACCATCCCTTGCACACGGCGTAGCCTCTCGTGAGGAAGCTGCTTCGGGCAAGGACGAGAAGGACAATCCGAAGGAAAAGGAGGCACAGGTTCCAATGCTCTGTGATGTTCTTGGGGTTGCTTTCAACAGTTTTTTTCCCATAAAACATCTGTTGTGATTCCATCACTTGAATATCTTCTATTTGAAAACGATTTTGGCATTGCATGGGAATAACCCCGCTCAGTTGCAACGGAACGAAATACACCAGCTCCGGAGGCATCTGCTCCAGCGAAGAAAGGAAAAGCTGCAAAGGAAAGCAATAAGAAGGACGCACAGGCCTGCACGTCTTGGGATGGTTTTGTGCTACCAGATTCAAAAAAATATTTAGAACATATATAATTTATATGTATATATATGTCTCTTCCCATCATGTCTTGAATTCCGTCAAGAGGTCAGGTTTGCATTATCTTCTATTTGAAAACTGGTTTTCCAACATTTTTGATCATCCCACCATCTGATATACCATCCCTTGCACACGGCGTAGCCTCTCGTGAGGAAGCTGCTTCGGGCAAGGACGAGAAGGACAATCCGAAGGAAAAGGAGGCACAGGTTCCAATGCACTGTGATGTTCTTGGGGTTGCTTTCAACAGTTTTTTCCCATAAAACATCTGTTGTGATTCCATCACTTGAATATCTTCTATTTGAAAACGATTTTGGCATTGCATGGGAATAACCCCGCTCAGTTGCAACGGAACGAAATACACCAGCTCCGGAGGCATCTGCTCCAGCGAAGAAAGGAAAAGCTGCAAAGGAAAGCAATAAGAAGGACGCACAGGCCTGCACGTCTTGGGATGGTTTTGTGCTACCAGATTCAAAAAAATATTTAGAACATATATAATTTATATGTATATATATGTCTCTTCCCATCATGTCTTGAATTCCGTCAAGAGGTCAGGTATGCATTATCTTCTATTTGAAAACTGGTTTTCCAACATTTTTGATCATCCCACCATTTGATATACCATCCCTTGCACACGGTGTAGCCTCTCGTGAGGAAGCTGCTTCGGGCAAGGGCGAGAAGGACAATCCGAAGGAAAAGGAGGCACAGGTTCCAATGCACTGTGATGTTCTTGGGGTTGCTTTCAACAGTTTTTCCCATAAAACATCTGTTGTGATTCCATCACTTGAATATCTTCTATTTGAAAACAATTTTGGCAGTTGCAAAGGAACGAAATACACCAGCTCCGGAGGCATCTACTCCAGCGAAAGGAAAAGCTGCAAAGGAAAGCAAAAAGAAGGACACGCAGGCTTCCGCATTTTCGGGTGGCTTTGTACTACCAGATTCCGATAATTATATATATATATACACACCCCTTCCCTTTATTATGTGACCTCCTGATTTCCCAAAAGAAATATGACATTATCTTCTATTTGAAAACGGTTTTTCCAATATTTTGTGATCAACACGGCGTAGCCTCTCGTGAGGACGCCGCTCCAAGCATGGAATTGGATGAGGGGCAGGACGATCCAAAGAAAGAGGACCCAGAGGTTCCCGTTCACTGGGACGTTTTTGAGGTTGCTTTCAAAAGTTCTTTTTACCACTTGGGGCAGTCTTAACTTAACCCATAAAAATCCCATTGTGATTTCATCAATTGAATATCTTCTATTTGAAATGGGGTTTGGCACTGTATGAGAAATACACCTGTTCTGCAGGCAAGTGCTCCAGCGAAAGGAAAAACCGTGAAGGACAGCAAGACGAAGGATTTCCGCATCTTGGGATGGTTTTGCGTACTATGAAATTGGAACATCTTCTACGCTTGGTTTCCTATCCAAAGAAATACGGCATTATCTTCTATTTAAAAACTGTTTTTCTGACATTTTTGGGTCTTCACCACTTGATATGTATATATATATACCATCCCTTTCGCATTGCATAGCCTCTCGTGAGGAAGCTGCTTCCAACATGGAAACGCAGGAAAATCTGAAGGCAGGTGCCCATTCACTGGGACGGTTTTGGGGTTGCTTTCAAAGATGCTGTTCCAAAATGACCCATGAAAGAACCATTGTGTACCCAATCTGTTGGCTTCGTCTATTTGAAAAGGGGTTTGGCACTGCATGGGAATGAACCCCCTCCAGACACCAGCTCTGCAGGCATCTACTTCAGCGAAAGCCAAAGCTGCGAAGCCGAAAAAAAAGGAAGCAGAGGCTTCTACTTTCTGGTCTTGTTGTGCAACATTATATATGTATATATATATATATGTATATATAATTATATATATATGTATAGATTGTCCAATCGCTCGATGCACTCCTGATTTAAATTCTTGGAATATCTTCTATTTGAAAACTGTTTTTGCCACTATATATTTCACCATGGAATACAGCTTCCCTTTCAGACTGCATAGCCTCTGGTCAGGAAATGGACGACGATCACGACCAACAAAGCGCACAGGTTCCCATTCGCTGGGATGGTTTTGGGTTTGCTTTCAAGGGTTCTTTTCCCCAAGTATAAAATCGGGGTGGGTTTGTTCCTTAGAAGACCCATTACAATTCAATTAGTTGATTATCTTCTATTTGAAAAGTACTTGTCTCTGCAGAGCTCTACTTTCAATGCTTACAAGTTTACCATCTGATGTTCCTCTGGTCAGGCATCCAGTTCCAAGACAACGAACCTGGATACCAAGGCACACATTGGTGGGAGGTGTTTGTCCCCTGTTCTGGAAGAGTGTGGATTATCATGAGGCATCCGGGTGTCAGGAAAACAGGCATTATATATCTTCTAGTGGAAATCCGATTGTCCCATTCGATGAGATTACTGTAGTGCTTTTTGTGGAACCACAGGTATTTTGGCTAAAAGGAATCTCGTGTGAGCTCAGCGGATTGGATACAGCCATGGGTGATGAACTCTTGATCTTACTGGCCTTGGCAGCTACATGTGGAACAATGATGGGCGGTGTGTTGACTTTGCTGTACACATATTGTCGGAGCAAAGGGCTCAGTAAAGGAGAGGTGACCCATCAGAAAAAATGTGGGATCCCATCGGAGATTTGGATTTCCCGTGCCGGCCAACAATTTCACCTGCATTCTGAGTGTCCCTCACTACAAGTGGATGGGAGGCAGCGAAGGGGTGTAAATAATTTCAAGCTTTGCGCACATTGTAGCAAACATCACAGTTCGGAAGCACATGATCGATAGTTGAGTTTCCGCTCGTCGCAGAAGCACGAGAATTTTAGCAAGAAAAAAATGTGAGCTTTTTGCCGTGAGTGCGATGGGAGAGGCCCAAATCACAAGCCCAAAAAACAACGGAAATCTCGTTTTCAAATAGAAGATATTGGCAGTATTTTCGAAAGGTTCCCATCACAAGCCAAAAAACCACGGAAATCCCGTTTTCAAATAGAAGATATTGGTATTATTTTCCAGAGGGTCCCATCACAAGCCCGAAAAAAAGGGAAATCCCGTTTTCAAATAGAAGATATTGGCATTGTTTTCCAGAGGTTACCATCACTCACAAGCCAAAAAAAACACGGAAATTCCATTTTCAAATAGAAGATATTGACATTATTTTCCAAAGGTCCCCATCACAAGCCCAAAAAACAACGGAAATCCCGTTTTCAAATAGAAGATATTGGCAGTATTTTCGAAAGGTTCCGTCACAAGCCCAAAAAACGACGGAAATCCCGTTTTCAAATAGAAGATATTGACATTATTTTCCAGAGGTTCCCCTCACAAACCCAAAAAACAACGGAAATCCCGTTTTCAAATAGAAGATATTGGCATCATTTTCCAAAGGTTCCCATCACAAGCCCAAAAAAAGGGAAATCCCGTTTTCAAATAGAAGATATTGGCACTGATTTCCAGAGGTTACCGTCATAAGCCCAAAAAACCACGGAGATCCCGTTTTCAAATAGAAGATATTGGTATTATTTTCCAGAGGGTCACATCACAAGCCCGAACAAAAAGGAAATTCTGTTTTCAAATAGAAGATATTGGCATTTTTTCCAGACTTTATCGTCACAAGCCCAAAAAACCACGGAAATCCCGTTTTCAAATAGAAGATATTGGTATTATTTTCCAGAGGTTCCCATCACAAGCCCAAAAAACCCACGGAAATCCCGTTTTCAAATAGAAGATATTGACAATATTTTCGAAAGGTTCCCATCACAATCCCAAAAAACGACCGAAATCCCGTTTACAAATAGAAGATATTGGTATTATTTTCCAGGTGTTCCCATCACAAGCCAAAAAAACAACGGAAATCCTGTTTTCAAATAGAAGATATTGGCATTATTTTCCAAAGGTTCCCATCACAAGCCAAAAAAAACACTGAATTTCCGTTTTCAAATATAAGATATTGGTTTGATTTCCCATTCCCAACAGCCACAGCCCATTCCACAGCGCATTGCAGGCTACAGAGGAAGAGCTCAAAGAGACTGAGAAAGTAAAGGCGCAGGAGAAGGAGAAGCATGTAACTCTGATGTTGACGCAACAGTGGTTTGACAAAGTATCATCGGGAGAAAAAAACTGGGAGCTGAGGGCAGCCAAGCCTTTCTGGACGAAACGCCTTGACGGGGCTACACATGTTCGGTTTCAACTTGGTTCCTTTGCCGCTCTAATTCATTAATTTCTTCTTTCCCCTCACAACAGTACATATGACAATGGTCCCAAATTAATTTCCCACTTCCTTACAACCTATCTATATAAAAGCCCTCCAGGGGAATGCCTAGGTTACAAAAAAGATACACAGCTTCCAGCACGACGTATCCTGAAGATTGACACCATTGCATTGGCTGATGCCCCACAGTATGGTGTTATGCAGGAGGAATTTGCGAAGCTGTTTGGAGATACGGAAAAACTCCTTGCAATCAATTTTGAGGCAGTCAATCCCGCTGATGTCCCAAAAGTAGTTTGGCAAAATCAAGAAACAATATATTATACATATATATATATACATATATATATATACATACAATATATCTGTGCCATAATATTAAGTTTTGACAGTTTTGAATACTGTATCTTTTATTTCAAATGGGACAGTAAACCCGAAACAACCCACCAAACCTCAAGGGACTATGGTCGCAAATTATTTCCCCAAGAATATCTTCTATTTGAAATGGGAAAGTACCACCCAAACAATCCACCAAACCTCAAGGGATGAAGGTCGCAAATTATTTCCTGGAGAATATCTTCTATTTGTAATGGGAAAGTACCACCCAAACAATCCACCAAACCTCAAGGGATGAAGGTCGCAAATTATTTCCTGGAGAATATCTTCTATTTGTAATGGGAAAGTACCACCCAAACAATCCACCAAACCTCAAGGGATGAAGGTCGCAAATTATTTCCTGGAGAATATCTTCTATTTGTAATGGGAAAGTACCACCCAAACAATCCACCAAACCTCAAGGGATGAAGGTCGCAAATTATTTCTCAAGGGATGAAGGTGCAAATTATTTCTTGAAGAATATCTTCTATTTGTAATGGGAAAGTAACCCGCAAAAAAACACTAAACTTCAAGGGACAATATATATATATAAGGTTGCAATTTGTTGTTGGGGAAGCTCTTCTTTTTGAAATGATCCAGGGGCAACTTAGGCAGTACACTCCAAAGGTGCGGAGGCAATCCAAAAAATGAAGCAGGCATCCGCTTTTGATGCCGAGCTTGAAGGAGAGGAGATGGACCCACAAGATTTGTTCCGTCCGGCTGACAACCGCCCAGTGAAAGACAAGAAGAAAGACCGGGAGGCAAAGAGCCGGGAAGTGCAGTTTCCAGCTCATCTCCTGACAGCCTTTGTTGAAACTGCTTGGCAACATGTGCCCAATGAATTCATGGGCTGGATTCTTGGGAAGGAAGAGGAATGCAAGGTTGCAAAAGAAGAGAAGCGCATTGTGTGTGCCAATGGTCTTTGGTTTCCAAAACAGGAAGGAAATGAGTGGTCTGTGGCAGAACTTCAAAATGCTTCAGACCAAGACAGTCTCCTTACCAAGCTCCTTGAGGAATCCTCCTCTAAAGTCATTGGCTGGATACATTCCCATCCGACTTTCAGCGCGTTCTTTTCTAGCGTAGATCAACATATGATGTACTTATTGCAGAAGGACAACCCTCTGGCCTTTGGAATTGTCATGGATGAAAAGAAGCAGCCTAGAGTTCTTCGTTTGAGTGCTGCTGGGATGAAGGAAGTTGCTGGCTGCACGGGAGGTCCTGAGGCGGGGTTTTATAATTATATGAAGACATAAGGAGACCAGTGGTTTGCAAATAGAAGATATTGGCATTATTTTCCAGAGGTTCCCATCACAAGCCAAATAAACACGGAAGCCAATTTCAAATAGAAGATATTGGCATTACCATCACAAGCGCCAAAAACCACCGACATTCCGTTTTTCAAATAGAAGATATTGGCATTATTTTCGAAAGGTTCCCATCACAAGCCAAAAAAAAAGGGAAATCCCGTTTTCAAATAGAAGATATTGGCATTGTTTTCCAGAGGTTACCGTCATAAGCCCAAAAAACAACGGAATTCCCGTTTTCAAATAGAAGATATTGGCATTGTTTTCCAGAGGTTACCGTCATAAGCCCAAAAAACCACGGAATTCCCGTTTTCAAATAGAAGATATTGGTACTATTTTCCAGAGGTTCCCATCACAAGCCCAAAAAAACAATGGAAATCATTTTTTTAAATAGAAGATATTGCCACCCAGGGGTCCTTTTTTGCCCTGAAAAGGCACATCCACACAATATTGACAAGGAGGAGGCGGTTGTGGACTTGGAGTACTTTGTCCACTACGCAGGTCCCAAGAGCCGGATGACTGTTCACGATTCTAATGTGGAGGAGACACTTTGCGGCGAGTAATATCTTCTATTTGACATTATATAGATTGTCCAACCAATTTTCTTCTATTTGAAAGGCCCGATGTTCTGTTGTTTGAGCAAAGCCAAACCTTTCAAATAGCAGTATGTCCTTTTTCCTTCTGATTCAAAACAAGAAAAATCAGGATCGAGACAATGATGCAAGCGAAAGTGGATGCTGGCATCGAAAAAAAAAATGGGAGATGCAGCAGGAGGCTGAAGAGAAGCCCAACCCAGTGCCACCGCCTGTTCCAAAAAAGAGAGAGCCATTGGCAGTTGTGGAGAAGAAGTGCGCCGCCATCGCTGGTCTCAAGGATTACATGATGCTGAATGTTTGGCCGCTCATGGCCCAGCTAGACAAAGACACAGCCACTACCAACCTGGTGTCCAAGCTCAATGAAATACTGCAGGAATTACCTGAGCTAGCTTCTGTCTTCCAGGAGTTTGGGTTTGTCAACCAGGAATTCCCAGAGCCAGTAGTGTGGGGCAAACTTTCTTCGGAATTGTCTCGAGCGGAAACTGGTTTCAAAGACATCATCGAAGAGCTGAGCAAACTGAAAGCCAAAAAAGCGAGAGGCCGTCCTTTTGGGGCAGCAAACAAAGGAAGGAGTGGAAAGGACGAGACAGGACAGACGGAGGGGGACGAGGAGTTGGAGCTGGAAACGCCCAGATGCACCAGGAAGAGGAAGACAGCTGCAGAGACAGCCGAAAATTCCACCAAGGAACCGAAGAAACCAAAGACCCAGAAAGCCTCCACCGCTGATAAAGCCAAGGGCGACCAGGAGGAGAGCTGTGATGGGGAAGAACCTACCAAGGAACCAAACAAGTCAATTCAGATTCCATTGTACACCAAGTGTATCATTGTGGAGTACGCCATGAAGCTAGCAGAGGATGGCACCGAGGCAAGCATTGAAAAAGCTGTCATGAGAAAGTTCAAAAAGTACTTTTTCTCGGTGGAGAGTGAGAGGTACAAGACTGGTTTGCTGCGCAAATGGACCATGAACTTTGGCAAAAGGTATATCATTCGAATTCAGCCCCGGGGTTCTGAAATACACCCAAAATAGATATCTTCGATTTCAAAGGAAAATACCACCCAAACAACCCACCAAACCTCAAGGGATTAAGATCTCAAATCCAATTTTTTGAGAATATCTTCTATTTGAAAAAGGGTTTGACGTCCAAAAGTAACCCCAAAGAATCCACCAACCCTCACATGAGGAAGGTTTTAAATCATTAAAATCATTTTTTGGGAATATCTTCTATTTGAAAAAGGGTTTGACCTCCAAAAGTAACCCCAAAGAATCCACCGACCCTCACATGAGGATGATCCCAAATCCATTTTTGGGAATATCTTCTATTTGAAAAAGGGTTTGATGTCCAAAAGTAACCCCAAAGAATCCACCAACCCTCACATGAGGAAGGTTTTAAATCATTAAAATCATTTTTTGGGAATATCTTCTATTTGAAAAAGGGTTTGACATCCAAAAGTAACCCCAAAGAATCCACCGACCCTCACATGAGGATGATCCCAAATCCATTTTTGGGAATATCTTCTATTTGAAAAAGGGTCTGACGTCCAAAAGTAACCCCAAAGAATCCACCAACCCTCACATGAGGAAGGTTTTAAATCATTAAAATCATTTTTTGGGAATATCTTCTATTTGAAAAAGGGTTTGACCTCCAAAAGTAACCCCAAAGAATCCACCGACCCTCACATGAGGATGATCCCAAATCCAGTTTTGGGAATATCTTCTATTTGAAAAAGGGTTTGATGTCCAAAAGTAACCCCAAAGAATCCACCGAGCCTCACATGAGGATGATCCCAAATCCATTTTTGGGAATATCTTCTATTTGAAAAAGGGTTTGACATGGGAAAGTAACCCCAAAGAATCCACCGACCCCCATATCAGGAAGGTCTTAAATCATTTTTTTGGTAATATCTTCTATTTGAAAAAGGGATTGACATGGGAAAGTACCCCCAGATAATCCACTAACCGTCACATGAGGAAGGTGAAAAAGTCAGTGAAATCTTTTTGTTTGGAATATTTTCTATTTAAAAAAGGGTTTGATATCCAAAAGTAACCCCAAGAATCCACCAACCCTCACATGAGGAAAGATTGAAATCAATTTTTGGTGAATATCTTCTATTTATAATTATGTATTATGTACATATACATTTATATATATATATATATAATATATATATATATATATATTTGTAATCGCATCATGAAATTCCAAGCATTCCCCTGACAAGTGAGGACCTACTGGGAGGAGAAGCACAACCTCATTCCGTGGAGTATCCTTTCTGTCAAGGACAGGATGGGTATGAAACAATTGCCAGGCTTTCTCAGGCGTGCACTTGACCTACCCGAGCGATTTCGCAAAGGACACGCACTATTCATGCCCATCGAGGTCGAGGAATGTATGAACGACGTGCTGGAGCGCATGGTGGCAGGATCCACCCGGACTTTGCAGAATGCAGGATCCATGAAACCACAGGTTTTGCTTCAGACTGCTTCCAAACTTCTCAAGTCATGGAGAGAACTCTATCTCAAGTCTTGTGAGGAGAATGGCATCAAACCAAAAGAATGCCGGGAGAACAAGCCCAACAACCAGTGGTTGTCGAGATTCCTTTACCGCTGGCAGTGGAGCTGGCAAGCTTCCAACACAAAGGGGAGTTATCTCCCCAATGACTCAGAGGAGATGATTGAGATGAGAAAGACACACCAGGCACAAAGATTGATTGAGAAAGCCCCATGGTCGATGACATTGAACTTTGACCAGTTATGGCGGGCTGGGTACGAACCTCCAAGCAAAGTCTTACACAAAAGACGTGGCAAAAGGCATGCGAATGATGATTGTGAGCTGTCTCCAGAGGATGTCGTGGGCAAGCGGCTGGAAGCCGTGCTCCAAGTGGTGGAAGGGGAGATGCAGAGAAGGATGGGTAGAGCCAACAAATCGAAGGTCAGAAAGACTGTGGCCAGGACAGATAGGGTGGCCGAATTGGCATGACTGCCATCAGTTCCACTTGGGGAAATGGGGAACTCGGTCCTCTCGGAATTTGCGTGGCTACAGGACAGGTCAGGCCTTCCTTGATCACTGATATCAATGCTGCATACCACGGTCATGTCTTCATTTTCGAATCCGGCACCGAATCCCATTTCATGAATGCAGAGACAACATTGCTCTACTTGCGGAACCTCATTGGGCCAGCCACTTTGTCGAAAGATTCCGATCATATATATATATATATGTATATATATGTATATATATATGTATATAGATAGATAGATAGATAGATAGATAGAGTTTCCTGAGCAAGCATAGTCCATATTAGATCGACTTTCCACATGTATGTACCAACCATAGGTCCACATTACAGGCGAAAATATGGTTTTAGATAATTAGAAGATATTGGTATGATTTCACGGCATTACCACTCGCAGGTCCCACTTCTCCAGGAATTTTTGTTTTCAAATAGAAGATATTGGCATTGTTTTCCAGAGGTTACCGTCACAAGCCCAAAAAACCACGGAAATCCCGTTTTCAAATAGAAGATATTGGCATTGTTTTCCAGAGGTTACCGTCACAAGCCCAAAAAACGACGGAAATCCCCTTTTCAAATAGAAGATATTGGTATTATTTTCCAGAGGTTCCCATCACAAGCCCAAAAAAGGGAAATCCCGTTTTCAAATAGAAGATATTGGCATTATTTTCCAAAGGTTCCCATCAGAAGCCCAAAAAAACACGGAAATTCCATTTTCAAATAGAAGATATTGGCAATATTTTCCAAAGGTTCCCATCACAAGCCCAAAACACCACGGACATTCCGTTTTCAAATACAAGATATTGGCATTGTTTTCCAAAGGTTACCGTCACAAGCCCAGAACCACGGAAATATCGTTTTCAAACAGAAGATATTGACATTTTTCTCGAAAGGTTCCTATTACAAGATCCAAAAAAAGACGGAAATCCCATTTTCAAATAGAAGATATTGGCAATATTTTCCAGAGGTCCCAATCACAGGCCCAAAACACCATGGAAATCCCATGGAAATCCCGTTTTCAAATAGAAGATATTGCTCACATTGCTCCCAAATAGTTTGTTCTCGCTACCGCCAAGGCCATCCAATTGAGGAGGGCAGCCCTCGGCTTTGATCATTCTGTTCGGGCCCTTTTGATTGTCGACGGTTTTACCGGGAACTTTGCCACCTCCTCAGGGGAGGACCTGCGGCGGAAGCAGTGGAGTGATGAGATGAACTGCGCATTGCCGATTAGACCACCGGGCGGCTGGTCGGCCTGGGGCCAGCCATGTGATGGCTTCCACACTGTGCTCAGAAGGCTCATGAACTTCTACACGGATGGAGTCCTTGGACCCCGTTTTTGAAATGTCAGCGAATTTCTGTTTGTATATATATAATATATATAATATATATATATATATATAATATATATATATTTATAAATCCACATCAGTCAAAAGTTTCATGTTGGGAGAGCCAATGTGGTTTTTAGTGCCTACACCCTGCAGGATACAACGATTGTGGACTGGAGCAGGCCACCAGGCCGCTGGTTTTGGGTGCCACTGGGCAGAAACATCTTCAGGTCACACCTGAAAACACCCTCAAAAGTATGATGTGGGCCTGGGAGAAGCTAGCTCCCTACAAGCGGCTTATTCAGTGGACATGGACTTCCCGGGGACTTGTGACAGCGGAAGAGATGAGAGAGATGAATGGGGGGGAGGCAGGTGAAGACCCTGCAGAGGATGTAGCTGCAACGGTATTCAGGGCAGAGCTCATTCCAGGAATCCCAGTGTTGACACCGTGCCCTGGCAAACCAAATATCTTCTATTTAAAAATGAAAAGTAACACCCAAACAATTCACTAAACCCAAACCACAACAAACTGCCGACCTTCACATGAGAAAGGTTTTAAATCATTAAAATCATTTTTTGGGAATATCTTCTATTTGAAAAAGGGTTTTACCTCCAAAGGACCCTCACATGACGATGATCCAAAATCCGTTATTGGGAATATCTTCTATTTGAAAAAGGGTTTTACCTCCAAAAGTAACCCCAAAGAATCCACCGACCCTCACATGAGGAAGGTTTTAAATCATTAAAATCATTTTTTGGGAATATCTTCTATTTGAAAAAGGGTTTTACCTCCAAAGACCCTCACATGACGATGATCCAAAATCAATTTTTGGGAATATCTTCTATTTGAAAAAGGGTTTTACCTCCAAAAGTAACCCCAAAGAATCCACCGACCCTCACATGAACAAGGTTTTAAATCATTAAGATCATTTTTTGGGAATATCTTCTATTTGAAAAAGGGTTTTACCTCCAAAGGACCCTCACATGACGATGATCCAAAATCCATTTTTGGGAATATCTTCTATTTGAAAAAGGGTTTTACTTCCAAAAGTAACCCCAAAGAATCCACCGACCCTCACATGAGGAAGGTTTTAAATCATTAAAATCATTTTTTGGGAATATCTTCTATTTGAAAAAGGGTTTTACCTCCAAAGGACCCTCACATGACGATGATCCAAAATCCATTTTTGGGAATATCTTCTATTTGAAAAAGGGTTTTACCTCCAAATAACCCCAAAGAATCCACCGACCCTCACATGAAGGTGATCAAAATCATTTTGGGAATATCTTCTATTTTTTTTTCAATCCTCCAAAACATCATTTGAAAAATTTTACCCCAAAATAACCCCAAAGATCCACCGACCCTCACATGAGGAAGGTTTTAATCATTAAAATCATTTTTTGGGAATATCTTCTATTTGAAAAAGGGTTTACCTCCAAAGACCCTCACATGACGATGATCCAAAATCCATTTTTGGGAATATCTTCTATTTGAAAAAGGGTTTTACCTCCAAAAGTAACCCCAAAGAATCCACCGACCCTCACATGAGGAAGGTTTTAAATCATTAAAATCATTTTTTGGGAATATCTTCTATTTAAAAAAGGGTTTTACCTTCAAAGACCCTCACATGACGATGATCCAAAATCCATTTTTGGGAATATCTTCTATTTGAAAAAGGGTTTTACCTCCAAAAGTAACCCCAAAGAATCCACCGACCCTCACATGAGGAAGGTTTTAAATCATTAAAATCATTTTTTGGGAATATCTTCTATTTGAAAAAGGGTGTTACCTCCAAAGACCCTCACATGACGATGATCCAAAATCCATTTTTGGGAATATCTTCTATTTGAAAAAGGGTTTTACCTCCAAGAGCATCAGGCTCGGGGAGACACAACGGGAGGGCCACAACGGGAAAATGATGCAAACAAAAAAAACTTCTAAATTTCTTCCCAATACCTTGAGAATGAACCCCTGAATGCTTTAAAACTGATTGTGGACATAATTTATGGATAGAAATTACTTTTTAAAAAATATCAAAGTATTCAGCTTTTAACATTTCAATATGTTACAAAAGCAGCTTTTTCTTTTTTACAAACTATAAAAGTGACATTTCTCATTTTGCATCACTTTCCCGTTCTTCTTCTCCCCGTTGTGTCTCCCCGTTGTTCAGGCCATCTGCCCGGAGCCAGCTCTGCACAATAAGGAGCAGGAAAAGGGGAGACACAACGGGGAGAACAACAACGGGAAAGTGATGCAAAATGAGAAATGTCACTTTTATAAATTTTAATACTTTTTAAAAACGATGAAGACGATAGGTCCCCACAAAGAGTGTTTGGGGACCTATCGTTGTTTGAGAAAAAATATATTGGAAAAAAACTTTTAATATTTTTTTTTATATTTTTTTGACCAAATATGTTGAAAAATGAGATTTCTATCCATAAATTGTGTCCACAATCAGGTTTAAAACATTCAGTGGTTCATGCTCAAGGTATTGGAATGAAATTTGAAAGATTTTTTTTGGATTTTTTTTTGGTCGAAATTTGGTTCAAAAATGACATTCCAATACCTTGAGCATGAACCACTGAATGTTTTAAACCTGATTGTGGACACAATTTATGGATAGAAATCTCATTTTTCAACATATTTGGTCAAAAAAAATATAAAAAAATATTAAAAGTTTTTTTCCAATATTTTTTCTCAAACAACGATAGGTCCCCAAACACTCTTTGTGGGGACCTATCGTCTTCATCGTTTTTAAAAAGTATTAAAATTTATAAAAGTGACATTTCTCATTTTGCATCACTTTCCCGTTGTTGTTCTCCCCGTTGTGTCTCCCCTTTTCCTGCTCCTTATTGTGCAGAGCTGGCTCCGGGCAGATGGCCTGAACAACGGGGAGACACAACGGGGAGAAGAAGAACGGGAAAGTGATGCAAAATGAGAAATGTCACTTTTATAGTTTGTAAAAAAGAAAAAGCTGCTTTTGTAACATATTGAAATGTTAAAAGCTGAATACTTTGATATTTTTTAAAAAGTAATTTCTATCCATAAATTATGTCCACAATCAGTTTTAAAGCATTCAGGGGTTCATTCTCAAGGTATTGGGAAGAAATTTAGAAGTTTTTTTGTTTGCATCATTTTCCCGTTGTGGCCCTCCCGTTGTGTCTCCCCGAGCCTGATGCTCTTGGAGGTAAAACCCTTTTTCAAATAGAAGATATTCCCCCAACCTCCGGTGCTACAATGGGGAACGGTGTAACGCGTTGTGTGTGTGCTGAGGCCTAGCATTGATGAAGCGTTGCTACATGCAATTCCTGGTCGCCCAGTACATGTGTGGCAAATGCAAGATCCTAATCCTCCAGTGCCAGAGGAGATGAACACTTGGATATCCCTTCCAATGTTGATGCAAGAGCAGGTGGACAAAATGTACGCAAAGTATCAGTTGGACATCTATGAGGCAGAAAAAAGGTTGGAACGTGGTGAAATCAAAGCATCCAAAGTTGAAAGCATCAGGCAGAACCGTTTGAGACCCATAGTGCTCATGCACTCAACAGGTCAGCCAGCAAATGCCAAGTATTTGAAGGATCACTTGATCACTGATGGAAGCTCCATCAAGCTCAAGGACAGTGATCCAAAAAAAATCGAAACAGAAACCCATCCAGATCAATTTTTTGGGAATATCTTCTATTTGAAAAAGGGTTTGACCACCACAAGTATCCCCAAAGATTCCACCGAACCTCACACGAGGAAGGTTTTAAATCATTAAAATCATTTTTTGGGAATATCTTCTATTTGAAAAAGGGTTTTACCTCCAAAGACCCTCACATGACGATGATCCAAAATCCTTTTTTGGGAATATCTTCTATTTGAAAAAGGGTTTTACCTCCAAAAGTAAACCCAAAGAATCCACCGACCCTCACATGAGGATGATCCGAATTCCATTTTTCGGAATATCTTCTATTTGAAAAAGGGTTTGACCTCCAAAAGTAACCCCAGAGAATCCACCGACCCTCACATGAGAGGATGATCCCAAATCCATTTTTCGGAATATCTTCTATTTGAAAAAGGGTTTGACCTCCAAAAGTATAACCCCAAAGAATCCACCGACCCTCACATGAGGATGATCCCAAATCCATTTTTTGCGAATATCTTCTATTTGAAAATGGGGGGTAAAGGTCATTGCGAACAATTTTTTGAGCAATGCCAGGAAGGATCTCGCTCATCGATCATTATCTTTGACCTTGCAAATCTCAGGGTGCAGGTTGGTAGAATGGATTGGGTTCCGCTCAGGGTCTTGAAGGCTGAAGTGGCTTTTGACAAGCTCACCATCTCAGTTGACAAGGACTTTTTGAATGAAATCCGTGGCTGCTCACTTCCTGGGATGCAGGAATATCAGTCTGATCAGTCTGACCCGGAGGACAACCCAGAGCAGCAGGAGGAGCAGCAGGAGGAGAACAACGATGACTTTGCGGCCATGGGCATGATAATTCCCGTGAATTTTGGCCCATCGCACGAAAACCCAGAAGAGTCTGATGGGGAAGGTTACCAGAAGTTCGAGGACGAGGTGATGAGACAGTTTATCGCAAAGCTGGATGAAGGCAAAATGAAAACAGGATTTGAGCCAGAGTTCGAAGACGAGGAGGGTATGGAGATTGTTTGTCCTGAATGTGACGAGATTCCCCATACTGTTGAGCTACACCTGGACGAATCTGGTGAGCTCGCCGTCTTTGTTCCAGACATGGAGGCAAAGACATCATTAGATACTATTTTCATGTACTTATTTCTGCTTTATGACTTTGTGAAGTTTTCAAATAGAAGATATTGTATCCATATTTCTTCTAAGCAATCAGTGAAAGGAATAATATTGCCAAGTTCAGCTGTCCACCCATGCCAGGTAGTGAAGAAAGCACAGCCAGAAGGGCGCCAACTCCAGTATTTGCATTCGCCAGCTTGGCAGGCCCTTGAGAAGGAAGGCCTGCTTGAACTGCCAGATGTCAAAGGATGCGGGCTCTGCTATAACAGGCACCTTTCCTGCTCTTTTCGAACATGTTTTGCAACTTTGTATATAGCGGGAAATGACTTCCAACAATCCAATTTTAAGTTTTTTTTGGGAATATCTTCTATTTGAAAAGGGGTCCGGCATGGGAAAGTACCAGAGAAACCACCAACCCTGACATGAGGAAGGTCTCAAATCTATTTTTGGGAATATCTTCTATTTGAAAAATGGTTTTACCTCCAAAAGTAACCCCAAAGAACCCACCGACCCTCACATGAGGATGATCCCAAATCAATTTTTGGGAATATCTTCTATTTGAAAACGGGTTTGACCTCCAAAAGTAACCCCAAAGAATCCACCGACCCTCACATGAGGATGATCCCAAATCCATGTTTTGGAATATCTTCTATTTGAAAAAGGGTTTTAACTCCAAAAGTAACCCCAAAGAATCCACCAACCCTCACATGAGGAAGGTTTTAAATCATTAAAATCATTTTTTGGGAATATCTTCTATTTGAAAAACGGTTTTAACTCCAAAAGTAATCCCAAGAATCCATCGAACCACACATGAGTAAGATCCCAAATCCATTTTTCGGAATATCTTCTATTTGAAAAGGGTTTGACCTCCAAAAGCAACCCCAAAGAATCCGCCGACCCTCACATGAGGAAGGTCATAAATCATTTTTTTGGGGAATATCTTCTAATTTAAACTGGTTTGACATCCAAAAGTAACCCCAAAGAATCCACCGACCCTCACATGAGGAATGTTTTAAATCATTCTCGGGGGAAAATCTTCTATTTGAAACTGGGTTTGGCATGGGAAAGTAACCCGAAGAAACCACCAACCCTGACATGAGGAAGGTCTCAAATCCATGTTTGGGAGTATATACCTTCTATTTGAAAAAGGGTTTTAACCCCAAAAGCAACCCCAAAGAATCCACCGACCCTCACATGAGGAAGGTTTTAAATCATTAAAATCATTTTTTGGGAATATCGTCTATTTGAAAAAGGGTGTTACCTCCAAAGACCCTCACATGCCGATGATCCAAAATCCATTTTTGGGAATATCTTCTATTTGAAAAAGGGTTTGACCTCCAAAAGTAACCCCAAAGAATCCACCGACCCTCACATGAGGAAGGTTTTAAATCATTAAAATCATTTTTTGGGAATATCTTCTATTTGAAAAAGGGTTTTATCTCCAAAGACCCTCACATGACGATGATCCCAAATCCATTTTTGGGAATATCTTCTATTTGAAAAAGGGTTTGACCTCCAAAAGCAACCCAAAGAATCCACCGATCCACACATGAGTAAGATCCCAGATCCATTTTTCGCAATATCTTCTATTTGAAAAGGCTTTGACCTCCAAAAGTAACCCCAAAGAATCCGCCGACCCTCACATGAGGAAGGTCATAAATCATTTTTTTGGGGAATATCTTCTAATTTAAAATGGTTTGACATCCATAAGTAACACCAAAGAGTCCGCCGACCCTCATATTAGGAAGGTCTCAAATCTATTTTCGGGAATATCTTCTATTTGAAAAAGGGTTTTACCTCCAAAAGTAACCCCAAAGAATCCACCGACCCTCACATGACGATGATCCCAAATCCATTTTTGGGAATATCTTCTATTTGAAAAAGGGTTTGACCTCCAAAAGCAACCCAAAGAATCCACCGATCCACACATGAGTAAGATCCCAGATCCATTTTTCGCAATATCTTCTATTTGAAAAGGGTTTGACCTCCAAAAGTAACCCCAAAGAATCCGCCGACCCTCACATGAGGAAGGTCATAAATCATTTTTTTGGGGAATATCTTCTAATTTAAAATGGTTTGACATCCATAAGTAACACCAAAGAGTCCGCCGACCCTCATATTAGGAAGGTCTCAAATCTATTTTCGGGAATATCTTCTATTTGAAAAAGGGTTTTACCTCCAAAAGTAACCCCAAAGAACCCACCGACCCTCACATGAGGATGATCCCAAATCAATTTTTGGGAATATCTTCTATTTGAAAACGGGTTTGACCTCCAAAAGTAACCCCAAAGAATCCACCGACCCTCACATGAGGATGATCCCAAATCCATGTTTTGGAATATCTTCTATTTGAAAAAGGGTTTTCACTCCAAAAGTAACCCCAAAGAATCCACCAACCCTCACATGAGGAAGGTTTTAAATCATTAAAATCATTTTTTGGGAATATCTTCTATTTGAAAAACGGTTTTAACTCCAAAAGTAATCCCAAGAATCCATCGAACCACACATGAGTAAGATCCCAAATCCATTTTTCGGAATATCTTCTATTTGAAAAGGGTTTGACCTCCAAAAGCAACCCCAAAGAATCCGCCGACCCTCACATGAGGAAGGTCATAAATCATTTTTTTGGGGAATATCTTCTAATTTAAACTGGTTTGACATCCAAAAGTAACCCCAAAGAATCCACCGACCCTCACATGAGGAATGTTTTAAATCATTCTCGGGGGAAAATCTTCTATTTGAAACTGGGTTTGGCATGGGAAAGTAACCCGAAGAAACCACCAACCCTGACATGAGGAAGGTCTCAAATCCATGTTTGGGAGTATATACCTTCTATTTGAAAAAGGGTTTTAACCCCAAAAGCAACCCCAAAGAATCCACCGACCCTCACATGAGGAAGGTTTTAAATCATTAAAATCATTTTTGGGGAATATCGTCTATTTGAAAAAGGGTGTTACCTCCAAAGACCCTCACATGCCGATGATCAAAAATCCATTTTTGGGAATATCTTCTATTTGAAAAAGGGTTTGACCTCCAAAAGTAACCCCAAAGAATCCACCGACCCTCACATGAGGAAGGTTTTAAATCATTAAAATCATTTTTTGGGAATATCTTCTATTTGAAAAAGGGTTTTATCTCCAAAGACCCTCACATGACGATGATCCCAAATCCATTTTTGGGAATATCTTCTATTTGAAAAAGGGTTTGACCTCCAAAAGCAACCCAAAGAATCCACCGATCCACACATGAGTAAGATCCCAGATCCATTTTTCGCAATATCTTCTATTTGAAAAGGGTTTGACCTCCAAAAGTAACCCCAAAGAATCCGCCGACCCTCACATGAGGAAGGTCATAAATCATTTTTTTGGGGAATATCTTCTAATTTAAAATGGTTTGACATCCATAAGTAACACCAAAGAGTCCGCCGACCCTCATATTAGGAAGGTCTCAAATCTATTTTCGGGAATATCTTCTATTTGAAAAAGGGTTTTACCTCCAAAAGTAACCCCAAAGAATCCACCGACCCTCACATGAGGAAGGTCTTAAATCAGTTCTTTAGAATATCTTTTATTTAAAAATGGTTTTGACATGGCACTGCAACCCCAGATGACCCACAAAACCTTAAGGGTTTTGCTTGTCACCCCAAGGCATGGCCAGTGGCTTGGTGTCTTTTGCAACCGCCCGAACATCGGCAGAACCTTTCGAGCGGGATTTCGAAGTGAGCGCAAAGCATTGTTGCAGGTGGTCTTAGGTCTTTGGAAATACCACCAAGGGGACCAACCACCGACTGAATTCATGGAATTCCTCTCTGATGAAATCGCTGTGTGTGAAATTTGATGGGGGATGACCGGGGGATGTACAGTATTTTCGAATATCAACGATCCCAATCAACTTTGGCTGAGGCAGGGGGACAGACAATTTATATACTGTTACTATTTCAATAACATAGCTGTTCAGTGTGGCACTCAATTTATATTCATATAAAAATAGCACATGCCATCCCAAATAAAAACTGCTGCTTTTCCTGACTGCCTTAGTCTTCAGCGGTGCAATGCTTCAGCGGTGCACATAGGGGATGTAAGAAATTACGGGGTTTGTGCTCGCGTAGGAATGCCCGGAGCGGCCGCAGTGTACAATATGACATGAGATATATACCAAGTTGAGGAAAAAAGGCAAAAGGTTGGAGCAATCCGCACTCCAGCGCGTTCGGATCCTCAAAGGAGACGTGGAAAGCTGGGAAATCCCCCAAGTAGATGGAGGTTTATATTTATATATGTATATATATATAGTCTATATACTTTTCACCGTTATTATAGAAGATATTCATATTCATTGAATGATTAAGAACCAGTCTTGTCATTTGCACCCTGGTGTTCCTGCATGTTGACTTGGGCCCTGGCCCGTCCATTCTGTGGTGGTGGTGGTTGGTTGTGGCTAGTGTTATATACTGGTGAAGAACTCCAACATCTTGCTGGGATTTGTGTCAGTCGAGGTTTGCAACTTGCCAATTGTTTGGTTCATTATTTGGAAGCATGTGCATCCATCTGATCATAATTGATTGATAATCATATGCTCTTTGGTAATAAAACATGTGCAATGGAAACTCCTGCATGTATACACATATACATATATAACTACATTTATATACTACTACTATTTGTCTATAATAATATATACTCCATGCATCTCCATACCGTTATTATAGAAGATATTCAGGAATTATTTCAAGTATATAGAAGATGCATTTTGGGGGTGCGACCAAAGGCGTTTCAAATAGAAGATATTGCAGAGTGCAAAAGTAGTTCAAATGACCAAAAATCCAACAATAGCTGGAACATAATGCCAATATCTTCTATTTGAAAACGGAATTTCCGTTTTTTTGGGCTTGTGATGGGAACCTCTGGAAAATAATGCCAATATCTTCTATTTGAAAACGGGATTTCCGTTGTTTTTTGGCTTGTGATGGCAACCTCTGAAAAATAATATCAATATCTTCTATTTGAAAACGGAATTTCCGTCTTTTTTCTGGGCTTGTGATGGGAACCTCATTTGAAAACGGGATTTCCGTGTCTTTTTGGCTTTTCTGGAAAATAATGCCAATATCTTCTATTTGAAAACGGGATTTCCGTGTTTTTTTTTGGCTTGTGATGGGAACCTTTGGAAAATAATACCAATATCTTCTATTTGAAAACGGGATTTCCGTTTTTTTGGGCTTGTGATGGGAACTTCTGGAAAATAATGCCAATATCTTCTATTTGAAAACGGGATTTCCGTTGTTTTTTGGCTTGTGATGGCAACCTCTGAAAAATAATATCAATATCTTCTATTTGAAAACGGAATTTCCGTGTTTTTTCTGGGCTTGTGATGGGAACCTCATTTGAAAACGGGATTTCCGTGTCTTTTTTGGCTTTTCTGGAAAATAATGCCGATATCTTCTATTTGAAAACGGGATTTCCGTGTGTTTTTTTGGCTTGTGATGGGAACCTTTGGGGGATTTCCCTTTTTTTGGGCTTGTGATGGGAACCGCTGGAAAATAATGCCAATATCTTCTATTTGAAAACAGGATTTCCGTTGTTTTTTTGGCTTGTGATGGCAACCTCTGGAAAATAATATGAATATCTTCTATTTGAAAACGGAATTTCCGTCTTTTTTCTGGGCTTGTGATGGGAACCTCATTTGAAAACGGGATTTCCGTGTCTTTTTTTGCTTTTCTGGAAAATAATGCCAATATCTTCTATTTGAAAACGGGATTTCCGTGTTTTTTTTGGCTTGTGATGGGAACCTTTGGAAAATAATACCAATATCTTCTATTTGAAAACGGGATAGAAGCGGGACCCGGCCGAAGGTACTTTTGCACTCCCCTCTTCGGGGGGTCACCCGGGTCTGGGCGTCAATGTTCTATTGATTTTATTAAAAAAAACAATCCCTGCAAAAAATCACAAAAAATGGCAGTGGGACAAAGGATTTTCAAATAGACGATATTGCAAACATCATCCCAATGTTGATGGTTGCCAAGTGCAAAAGTAGTTCAAAAGACCAACAATCCAACAGTAACCCCTTCAACATTGGGATGATCTTTGCAATATCTTCTATTTGAAAACTGTTTTTCATGCATTTGGGATCTGTCGAACTCATGGGGTTGCAAATGAATATCTTCTATTTGAAAACCATTTTGTGGAACTCTCTGGGTTCCCTCATGAAATATTATCTTCTATTTGAAAAGTGTGTTTCAGTACTCCTCGAATATCTTCTATTTGAAAAATAAATTGCATTACAGATTATCTTCTATTTGAAAAGTGGTTTGAATCACCATCCCTCAATCAAAAAAGCTAAAAAAAACCATGGTTTTTGAACAGTTTTTCACCGACCCCCCCCCCGAAGGCGAGAGTGCCAAAGTACCTCCGGCCGGGTCCCACTTCGGGAGGTACTTTGGCACTCTCCTCTTCGGGGGGTCACCCAGGTCCGGGCGTCAATGTTCTATTGATTTTAGATAATTTCCCTGCAAAAAACACAAAAAATGGCAGTGGGACAAAAGATTTTCAAATAGAAGATATTCCAAAGATCATCCCAATGTTGAGGGGTTTATTCTTGGATTTTTGGTCATTTGAACTACTTTTGCACTCTGCAATATCTTCTATTTGAAAAGCGTTTGGCCGCACCCCCAAAAAGCATCTTCTATTTGAAATAATTCCTGAATATCTTCTATAATAACGGTAAATACTATAGTTTGGGAAAAAAAATAGCACAATTCAGGGTAGTTTTATAAATCGTAGGTCAACATGATTTCCCAATATCATAGCCTTTTTGTTCATTTTTGTTGTGGAGGGGCAACCAGGAGTTTCTGCGAGCCAGCTTCGCGTCAAGTGTCCTGCAGTGCTTTGGTAGATCTCTATGGCAGGCTGATTCGTTCAAGTGCCTTGGGCTGCAGCCAGGGGTGTTTGTTTCTAGCAGGAAAGGATTATATCTCGGCCGTTTTCGGGAAGCTAAGCCTTACCCTCCGGTAAACTAAAAAAACTATGGAAAATCACTATTTTTTATTGGTAAATCAACTATAAATGGTCCATGTTCAATAGTTATGTTTGTTTACCAGAGGGTAACCATGACCTATAATTACATGATCTATTTGGGTGGTGATATTTTGATCGGACCTGTAGGTAACTCGGTGCCCGCTGCGCCCGCTCCATGCTTTAGATATCTGGAGAGCGGCAGTTCCATTGGGTTTGAGATAGCAATGGGAAATGGCCCATTTGTTGATTATTTTCACCTGAAATTCCTGAAATGGTGAAATTCCATCGCTATGTTAAATTGCCGGAGAGTATTACCAGATTTAATCGGCCAGGCTTGTTTAATTCAGGGTTGAGACTTATACCCCCTTTATCTCTCCTGTATGGAAACAACCAATCAGTTTCCACTGGGATTGGTTATTCTGCAGCCGTTCATCTCTGGAGGTAGTTCTAACTCTGACCTATACCCACGGTTATCCACGGTTGGTGATATAAAATCACAATGAATCACCGGATATGATGTTTCACTGATGCTTAAGCCCTCAGGTATCAACAGGTGATATTGAAAAAATCCGCCGAATCATTCGCTGGGAACCTCCCAGATCCCTTGGGGAATACTTGTGGGAAACCTAGGAAACCTGGTGTCAAATGCCATGGTTTCCAGTAGATTTTGCGATGATTGCCATTTTATCGACAAATTGAGGAAGCCAATGTAGCATATATACTATATATATAATATTATATATATGTATTATATGTGTATATTATTATTATATGCCCAAGCAAGAATATAGGCCATATCTAACTGGCGTAGTCTTTCCTTTTCCTTCATTCGTAACCTGGATTTGCTGAGCCGATTTGATATTTCTCGCTGTTTAGCATGGGATACATCCTCCATTCCATGAAGGAACCATTACCCTCTGGTTATGACTAACATAGCCATGGTATAGATGGCCCATAGAAATAGATGGTTTACCGGGTTTACCGTTCTTAATAGCATGGTGATGGCTTCCATGGCGAACTGTGAATGTCATAACCAGATGGTAAATATGGTATAAATTCATATAAATCCCAGCCTTGTAAACTAGCTTAGAACTTAGCTATGGGGCAGTACCTTGTTTTCATCTCTTGCAGGTACAGTTTCAAGAGCTCCAGCATCGACCAATACTGGTCGCATAGCTGGGCCGAAAGATCATGGAAGAAGCTTCTGCTGCTCTTGTGGCTGAACAATGGCACAGCGCCTCAGTGCGACGTCATTGAAGGGGTATATTAATTTACATGGCCCTAACAGTTAACAATTATAGTATTGGGGGGGTGGTATAATATACTGATTCAACAAACAAAAATGATTACAAAATTGTGGTATAATTATGGGGATGTTAATGATATATGAATGGAATATTGATTAAATTTAGGGAATCAAACATGGCTGGCTGGGAAATCTCCGAACAAGCCACTGAGGTTTATAGTTGGGAAAATCATGGAATAAAGGAAGGAACGGATAAACCCCACATGTTCAACTTCTTTAGACTAGACTGAACATAGAAGCAAGAAGGGAAGAGGAAGTTAAGAGTGATGGAGCGGTGATGGTGGGTGAGTTTGGGTATGTATGTAGTTCATGCTTACAGTGAGTGAGTGAGAGTGTGAGTGAGGGATGTGCGAGTGAGTGAAGTGAAGTGAAGTGAAGTGAAGTGAAGTGAAGTGAGTGAGCGGGTGAGGGAGGGAGGGAGGGAGGGAGTGAGGGAGTGAGGGAGTGAGGGAGTGAGGGAGTGAGTGAGTGAGTGATTGTGTGTGTGTGGGTGAGTGGGTGAGTGGGTGAGTGGGTGAGTGGGTGAGTGGGTGAGTGGGTGAGTGAGTGAGTGAGTGAGTGAGTGAGTGAGTGAGTGATTGCGTCAGTGAGTGATTGCGTCAGTGAGTCAGTAGGTCAGTCAGTCAGTGAGTGAGTGAGTGAGTGAGTCAGTGAGTCAGTGAGAGTGAGTGAGTCAGGAGTCAGTTCACTCAGTCACTCAGTCAGTCAGCATCAGTCAGTGAGCGAGGGCGTACATCCACCCCTTTGGCGATTGTTTCCACGCCTGCCACGCAAAAGAGGCGGAGACCCAGGGACGCCAGCGGAACCCCGGGGCGTACATCCGACCCCTTGACAGTGCACATTGTCCCACGCCTGCCACGCAAAAGAGGCGGAGACCCAGGGACGCCAGCACATTGTCCCAGGCCTGCCACGCAAAAGAGGCGGAGACTCAGGGACGCCAGCGGAACGTACATCCGACCCCTTGACAGTGCACATTGTCCCACGCCTGCCGCCTGCCATGGAAAAGAGGCGGAGACCCAGGGACGCCAGCGGAACCGGGCGTACATCCGACCCCCCACGCCTGCCACGCAAAAGAGGCGGAGACCCAGGGACGCCAGCGGAACCCCAGGGCGTACATCCGACCCCTTGGCAGTGCACATTGTCCCACGCCTGCCACGCAAAAGAGGCGGAGACCCAGGGCCGCCAGCGGACCCCCGGGGCGTACATCCGACCCCTTGGCAGTGCACATTGTCCCACGCCTGCCACGCAAAAGAGGCGGAGACCCAGGGACGCCAGCGGAACCCCGGGGCGTACATCCGACCCATTGACAGTGCATCCGACCCCTTGGCAGTGCACATTGCCCCACGCCTGCCACGCAAAAGAGGCGGAGACCCAGGGACGCCAGCGGAACCCCGGGGCGTACATCCGACCCCTTGACAGTGCACATTGTCCCACGCCTGCCACGCAAAAGGGCGGAGACCCAGGGACGCCAGCGGAACCCCGGGGCGTACATCCGACCCCTTGACAGTGCACATTGTCCCACGCCTGCCACGCAAAAGAGGCGGAGACCCAGGGACGCCAGCGGAACCCCGGGCGTACATCCGACCCCTTGACAGTGCACATTGTCCCACGCCTGCCACGCAAAAGAGGCGGAGACCCAGGGACGCCAGCGGAACCCCGGGGCGTACATCCGACCCCTTGACAGCGCACATTGTCCCACGCCTGCCACGCAAAAGATGCGGAGACCCAGGGACGCCAGCGGAACCCCGGGGCGTACATCCGACCCCTTGGCAGTGCACATTGTCCCACGCCTGCCACGCAAAAGAGGCGGAGCCCTGAGTGAGTGAGTAAGTGAGGGAGGGAGTGAGTGAGTGAATGAGTGAGTGAATGAGTGAGTGAGTGAGTGTGAGTGAGTGAGTGAGTGAGTGAATGAGTGAGTGAATGAGTGAGTGAGTGAGTGTGAGTGAGTGAGTGAGTGAGTGAGGGAGGGAGGGAGGGAGGACGGGAAGGAGGAGGAGGAGGAGGACGAGGAGCGGATACAGAACTAAAAACAAAACCCCACACGTCAATGTGGGGAACTAGATGGGTTGAAAGAAACAGTAATGTTTATATAGTTACGAGAGGGTATGAGCAGGCAAAATGTGGATTTCATGAGCCCAAATGCGGGAAAACAAACATGTTATGGGTCTTTATGTGTGTATGGTGCTTTATGAGCAGCAACATGAGATTTGGTTCATCACCAGCCCCTCAAGGTTTTTTCATCGTGGGTCCATCACCAATACCAAAAACCACTGGTTGAAAGGAAAGTCTGCAGCAAAACATACATGGTTTTGGCTTGACCACTTGAAATCTGGGTTCCCTGCAAATCTTCTGTCAACCGATTCTGGAAAACCCTCGGTTGATAGTCTATCCTAAGGTATGTATGATCATATATGATCATAGAGAATTATTCATCCTATAAATGGCTGGATATTTTTACTGGCCACTGGTTGGGTCCAAAAAGTGTAGATTGCAATTTCCTAGTGAATACCAAGCCTTTACAACAATTGGTTCAGATATGCAATCTGCGGGTTTTTTCAGTCTTCAGAGGGTTGTCAAAACCACCGTGCTGGTGAAAGACTTGTTGTAGATTGTTGTGGATTGTTGGCCCTCCCCCCACAAGGTCAGATGGACCTTGTGGGATCTTTCCTAGTGTTCCCCCCGAAAAAAAAACGCCCCCTTGGAAGGGGTTGATTAATAAGGGGAACCCTCTGGTTATTTTCATGGGGGACATGGGCTGCCGGGCTGGGGGATACCCGGTATGGGAGCTATCCAAGATTTTTATCAAGATTTTAATTAGAAATCGATCATTTGGGGAATACAGTAGTTGTTTTTTTTTCAAATGTTCAATGATCAGCAGTGATGGGTTCTGGTGTTCATGAGGTTTCAACTTAAGTATAGCATAAGGAAACCATTTGAAAATAAAGAGAGTTGGAAAATAAAACAAAATGGGATTTCAGCGCTGGAGGTTGATGAATTAGGTCCAGGCAAAAAAAATTATTAATCCAGGGGGGCCACCTGTTTTTAAATGACATTTTTTTGGGGGGCAGTCGAGGTTGTTTAATCGTGGGGGTTTGATTAATCCTGACTTGACATTAAGTAGAATCAAACCTTCAGAGTAGAAACACTATAGTTAAGACAGACATGTTAAATGCGCAACTTGAGGGGATAGGTATTCGCTGGGTGATTTCCACCCTTATCCGAAGACCATGACTTGACACCCAAAACGAACCCACAAAACGGGTCCTGCTCACAAAATGTTTATTAAAGTTGGTCTTCAAACTCCCATGCTGCTGCAACATTCAATATAATCCAACATCATCCAACTCCCTACCATCCACTGATCCACCTTCAAAGCATATTATTTTAGATCACCATTTTTAGAGGGCTCCCAATCCAACATGTTCCGGGCGCCCAGATGGCGGTGATTTTCAGTACATTTACGGCGTTGGGCGTCATCCCGCTCTACACCTTGGGTTTTCTGCCCAGCCTCTCCGGTCTCGCAGCCAGCGCAGCCAGTGCCGAAGTGTCCATCTGGTGCGTCGCTGCGGGGCTGCTGGGTTTGCTCCTGGGGATGCTACTGTGGCGCCCGGGGAAGATGGTCTTCATAGACAAGGTCTGTTTGAATGAAGTACCTGAAGTACCTGAAGTACCTGAAGTACCTGAAGGACTGAGGATGACGGACATGATGTGAACGCGATGAACATGCGAAGGGGGTCCGGATGGCCGACAATTAAACTTTGCGGGGGAAGTATTATAATATTTGATTATGTCCAACAGTGAAATAAATGAAACATAATGAAACTATATTGATATATTGGAAGATTAAAGACAAACATCTCCCAGTGTCCCAATGTTTTGAGTTTCAAAGACCTTCAGCATGCTGTTTGCAGGAGATGGTCAGCTGAAGCAGGAAGGGATGCGGAATATCGGCGCATGTCTGAAGCACTCCAAGTCCATGTTGGTGCTGTGGGACCCGACCCCTGGATCTGCCGAATTCAGCATTTTTTTTTCTTTAACACTGCTACACACACATAATATACAGTATGTATATATATATATTGTACATATAACTACAGTTAATTACACGAGAAATGATTCTCGAATCCAATGATGACATCTGCTACTACACGTGAGGAAATCGTTCTGTGAAGATGCTTCTTCTTGATAGAATTTCCCCCCTTCAATCTCAGAATGGAAGGGCATATTTGCAAGGAAACCCTATTTCTTAATGGTACAACCCATGGTTGCCCTCAGGTTTTCCCTTGAATTTTCCATCCTGGACCCATGAAACACACGAAAAGCCGTCACGTTTTTCAGGAGCCATGCGCAGCAGCTCCAAGCCATCTTCGAGCTCGCCACCTTTCTGAAATGCCATGAAGGAGAGAAGGTGCATCTGGACATTCGGCCCACCATGCTGGCACCCTTCCTCTTAGTCAACCTGGCAGGTGGGGCATCGTTGATTCAGACTCCCAAGTCACCGTGAGGGATCGCGAAATGACCAGTTGACCTGAAAAACCTGCCAGGCAATGTCTTCATTGCGGTGGCTCAGATCTTAGTGCCATTTGATCACAATTGGAGCATCTTTCTGGTGGCCGCCTGCTTTGCGCCCTACTTCCTGGCATGTGGCTGCCTTCTGCGCTCTTATTTTGCCTCAATTCAGGGCCTCAAGGACACATGCGAGACATCCTAAACCTTATGCATGCCTGAACCAGACATGTTTGGCAGTTACTGGTGCCAGCCATACCTAGGACCTAGGTATGGAAATTCCGCCCTTGATAGGTCATTGTCCTGGGAAAACCATGGTGAAATCATGTGTTAAAACACATATCTATGCTGACTCACTGATCCCCCATTCACAGATGGTGAAATCTATGAATCTATGGTGAAATCACATCAAGATAGATATAGTACGATCACATTAATATCCCCACAGAAATCATGGTTTTTCATCAGATAGTAGGATAAAAAAGCACAAGCACCAGGAAAACTCCACAGCCCAGTGATATCCTTCCCAGGATCAGTTGGGTTTCTTCAGTATTGACGACACGGTGTGCCTGCAATGTGACAGGAAGAGTCTGGGACCTCATTAGGGGCCTCATCATGGGATGGATCAAACACCGAAAACCTGACTGCTGATTTAACATAAATGATGGACAATACATGAAGATGTCTACTCAGTCTACTCCATTTATGTCTATTTAATTTGGTTTAAAAGATTGTGTTCCTACCCTAGATATGGTGATGTTGCAGTTAAATTGTGAGAGGGTTTTGTGCAGATCTTGGCGGGGCGAAAACCATTTGCTAGCAATGTTTGTCTGCCACAGCCATATCCGCCTCAAAATGATCTCAACGTTATACCGTATACAATGAGAATCAACAATTGTCATTACTATCTGGGGAACCATCTGAAATGGCTTTCAATCGTCTTGGTCCGGATCTGTTCATTAAAAAGGTAAACATAAGACAAATGTGCCAAATTCCCAGTTGGTTGGGTGGTGCATACAAGGATGGTCAATTGGATTTCAAGCCGACTCCTGTGCAACAGACCGGCCAGATTTGAATCATTCAAGAGTTGGATGTCAACCGTTCACCGTTCACCGTTTTGATGCTGAAAGATTCTAGAGATTTGATATTTGATTTACTTTGATGAATGGCATGAAGCACGTTGAATATGGGAGGCACTTCCAAGAAAATGCGGGAAACGTCAAGGATCCACACTTGGCCAGCGGCAATGTGAAAAGGTTGGTCTTCAGTTTGCCTCCTGCTGTCAGTGAAGGGCTTCCTTAATTGTATTGTACCCTTGCCACCACCCGAACACAAAACAATAGTTCAATGATGGAATGATGGAACCATAGAATTTACAAATTTATCTGGTTGGTGCTTTGGAACATGTTTTATCCTTCCATATATTGGGAATAATAATCCCAACTCACTAATATTTTTCCCAGGGCTTGAAACCACCAACCAGTTACAGTAATTATTACTATCTGGTTATTTAACATAGCCATGGAAAATCACCATTTTTAATAGGTAAACCATCTATAAAGGGGCCATTTTCCATGGCTATGTTAAATAACCAGAGGGTATCCCTGATTGTATGACATGCTTTAAACCAACCAGATTTCGGGGTCCTCGAGCAATGCTCGTTTTTTTTTTTGCTCGGTGGTGCAGATTGAAGATCTTCGAGATCTCAGCTCTTGAGTAATCCCTTACCCCTGATATCATCATTTTAAATACCCAAAATATGGGACCCCAAATGAATAGATTCACTACTCAACCAGGATTTCGAGATATTTCTAGGTACATGGAGGTATTTTATAATATTTTATAATAGGTGTTTTTCATAGGACAACACTGACACTGACATACACCGACCTCAAAGCGCTGAGGATCCTTTTGGAATGCATTCACGTGTGGTTTGGTTCCATCGAGGACTTCGAACGTGGCCCGGCAAAAAAAAAAGGGCGCCGTTATTGTCATAGCAACAGAAAGGGGGACGTTATCTAATGCCAAATGGGAAAAAAAGGGATGTTAGATAGGTATCTATTTGGTATGCCAAGGGGGAGTTATCTATACCTATCTAATGGGATAGAAACTATGAACCGTATAGATGTGTCATGTTACTTCACTCTATACCGTTTATACATGTTTATGCCGTCTATACCTCTGAAATCGCCGTGAATCTACGCCAGTGTCCATCAGTGTCCACAAGAAACGCCAGAATCGGCACCAAAACATACCGTCACCGGTCACAGATGGCCACAGGCTATGTCTGTATCAAAGTGGCACGAGTTTTTTCACAAAGACTCGGAAATTTCCTGTGCCAATACTGGATGGTCATCATTCTCTCCGCTCCGATACTCTGATTGCAAAGAGGGCTGCTGGAGTGTGTTTCTGTGGTGTTGTTTTATTTCCTGAAGAGGGCATTAAAGGCATTAAGAGTGGTGATTTCTGAACCAACTCCGTTGAGGGATAGGCAAAGTCTATCAGATTCTATGGAGCGCATAGCCAAGTGAACACATGCTGCAGACAGCAGCTTTGTCGAGTCAGCAGCCAACACAAGCAGAAATCCAGAGAAGTTACCGTATCAAATCGTTACCATGTTTCACTCCGCTGAAGTCTAGCATTGAACTAATTATGTGGACCCCTGAAAATTGTATTTTCCAGCCAGAAAGGGTGAAACCTTTGCCAGCAATACAACGGAGAAGCAGAGCAAGACAACACCCTCATGTTTGCACAAGGAACCGGCGAATTTTCTTTCATATTTCTTTGGTTTCTTGCGCTCATGATGGACTAAGAAAACTAGAGTGAATATGCATGTTTTGCTTCTTGGTTTTTCCTCTTCAACCCCCAGTTCAACTCATAATGTAAGCCAATAAGGTAGAATAAGAATAAGATCTCTTTTGGGAACCGATCCTGCCAGTTGTCTATTTTGAAAGTTGGGGCATGGTCCTCAGCCCTTCGTTGTGCACGGAGCGTCTGGGAACTGAGGATCTTCTGGGCGCATTTGGACATGATCGCGAAAGCAGTGGTCAGCGAGGACTATGGGACAGCCAGCTTACTAGCGGTCACGGCGTTTACCTGGTGCCTTGCAAAATCATTTCACGCCATTTTTTTGGGGGGGGTTTACCCCAAGATATCGAGGATGATCATCATCCATTGAGGGAATCCCGTTCTGAAGCAACCAGTACAATGGACTGACGTTGCGGGTAAAATGAACGCTGCTCAGGTGGTTTTTCGGAGTCAGACCTGGGAAGTATGGCAGCAAACTGCCAGATGTTAGTCATAAAGTGTGTGTGTGTGTTATGGATGGCAGCACATAATCCACTCCAACTTTGCCGACTCAGGGGATCAACATGGATCAACAAACCAGTTGCATAGGATGGGATCTGAGTTTACAGGGCGTCAAAGTTTGTTCGCTCCAGAGTGGTTTGCACGGGTGCCCTGCCAAGTTGTCGGGCTCCTCAACCATCCTCAACCTTCAGTGCGAATCCGCCTGTTTTTGCCATGGATTGACTCCGGGTGATCAGCGCCTAGCATTTATGATTGAGAAAATCTCAGCTGCACAGCTCCATACAGCTCCATTTTGAATGATTTTCCAGCCATGTTGGAGTACACCGGAGGGTATATCGGTATATCCATGGTCTGAGGTGGCTGGGGATTCTCCCTGCGGCCTACGTGCTTTTCATTGCTCTGATGGCTAAGAGCCAAAGGAGGTGTGAAACCGGTGCCGGTGGTAAACCACCGCTGGGTTTTCAGCTGAATTTGGTGGAAGATCCCAGCTGACTCAGATAAAGTTGGGATATGTTGGGATGGTTTTTTCAGCTGCTCAGTGGATGGATGCACTGCAGGATGATCATGGATGCACATCATTTGTTCATTTAGATTTCATTTAGTACATATTTCAAAACACCCGACTATGCGCTGGGTCTGCTCAAGTCAACCGGACTTTTACGACTGGGCTGATTGGTGTTAATTGTTATTTGACACTCTGCCCGACGACTGTTTGCTTCATGTTGTTTAAGCACTCAAATGAGCAATGTTGAAGATCCCTTTTAGTTGATGGTAGGGCGTAACAATCTGGTATAATTATTGTGGATTCTAATCATCCGCCATGGGACCTTGGAATCCCTGTTTTAAGCGGCCAGTGCGGCCAGTATAGAATAGAATGATAGAGGATTTTGAACACTGTTCATTTCTTTATGGTCAATTGCAGAGCCCCTTTTTGTGCAACACGTGTATACAATGACAATGACGCAGCTGGTTTTGGCCACCCCTCATGTGGGAGTATTTCAATGAGGGGTTGACTTAGACATTGAAACTCATACGACACCTAACTATACCAAACTGATCTAACAAGGAAAGATGTGGAGGTTGTTTCACGCCAGGTCGCTCTTTTTTGTTGTGGACCGTGCCCCACGGTTGGAAAGTCAAGGGGGATGACCAGAATTGGGGAGAACATCTCAGCCCTAAAGGTGACACCCTCAACGAAGAATTTTTAAGACCCGCCCTGAACAAATCATCGTTCTTTGTGCTTAATAAAGCCAACACATATAGAAACATATAGAAACCCAAGCCACATAATATTGTATAACATTGTTGGGGTCACCCCTCAGGGAGGCTGAATCTCATGAATTTTGTCGCGGGGAAACCTGGAGGCAATTGAGAAGAACTAGCAATGCCTTGAAGCTTTGCTGGCGTGCGGTACCACCTTGTGCTCTCGTTCTGCTGCTTCTGGTTGCGGGGATGTACCAAACTTTTTGCATCCGCTACATGAACGATGCACCTCGTTTGGGGATTCACTGAGGATCGAAGCTGAAGGTACTCAGCAGATTGCTGGTTGGTGGTTTCAAACATCTTTTATATTCCATAATATATGGGATAATCCTTCCCATTGACTATTTTCCATAATATATGGGATAGTCCTTCCCATTGACGAACTCATATGTTTCAAGATGGTTAAAACATGTTAAAACCACCAAGCAGATAGATTCAAAAGTGGATCCTTCAGGTTTTCCAAGTTTTCAACCGAAGTGGTTATCGAGAACAATCTCCGGGAGGCGGGAGGGGCAACAATACTCAAGTTCCTTTCGTCATTGCCAAACTGCCAAACACCGTCCATGACCTTTTATATATTTTTTTATATCCCATAATTTATGGACAAGTGACATAGGTTGCCTCCCTGAGGGGATTGAGGGATGATTGACCCCATCAGGGTGCCTTGCAAGAGGTTTTGTCCTTAGATTTCTATGACTAATCTAAGTGTGAAGCGGCATTGCTACGTTGTCATTGTTCTCAGATCGATATGATCACTCCCAAACAGTTTTTATTTGTTCCATGTGTTTTCCACATTGCGTCCCTACTTTTCAAGACAAATGAGGAAAGGTGTTTTCCGATACCTCCATCTCTCCCTTTCTACATGTAGCATATGTATTTACAATATTCTATAATATTACATATGTATACATATATATATATACAATATTATAATATAATTATATAATATTATTTATGTATATAACATTATATATATATATACACATGCACGTGTATGATATTGGAGAAGGGGGGGAAGCAGAAAGATCAGAAAGCATGGCAAGACATGGCAAGACATTCGCACGCCTCCCCTGGCCTTTCACCAGGCCTTTCTGGGCATTTGCATTTTCGCTGGCACTATGATCATCCCCTGCTATTTGGTTTGGCGTGCCTCTACCAAGAATCTTTGATTTGATTAAGAATTTGCTGGAGTTTGCGTTGATTTTTTAAACATGATTTGATTAAGAAATATTAAGAATATAGTTTAAGTTGTTTTCTTTACATCATATTTTGCAATTGGTCCAGCGTGGAGAGTTCATTCGGAATATAGTCATCCTCGAGTAGATAGAATATGGATATGTCAAAAAACATCAGTAAAACGGGAATATCTCTCAAAATCCCCAAAAAAAAACTCCAGGATGCTTATGATTACGCCACGTCAGACGTGTTAGAAATTCTGGTCTCAGTCAACTCCAAGGAACACCAGCATGTTCACCCCCCGCACCAATGCATGCGATCCAGTCGATCGCGCGTGAAAGAAATTCGTGGCCGTTGAGATCTGCGGATTTCCATGGGACGGTCGTTGTGTGACGATGACTCGAATGTTATCATCGAATGTTCTTGGTTGAAACCCACAAGCCGAAATCTATATATATATAATACAACTATATATAATATATATATATATATAATGTACACTGTACTTAAAGGTAGTATGGATTAGAGAGAAAGATAGATCGTGACAGATGCAGATAGATTTGACTGGACTTGACTGGATTAGATGGGTCAAATTCTAAAACTTTCAACTAGTTGAAATTTTGACAAAACAATGACCGTATTGTTTACAATCAATAATGATGTGATTCATCATGTCAACTTTTATTAGTGACTTTGAAGATGGATTATTGATCATCATCATGCCGTCATGCCAGGGTATTGTCATGTTTTGACTGGCACAGAGAATGGTTGAATTGGGGACCTCCTTGCGCCAAGATCCAAGTTGGTTGCGACCCGAATGGGCCCAGGAGTCCCCACTTCTTGCAACCGGTTTTTTCTTAGATGCGTTTGCCGTTTCACCGCGTGTTTTTTCTGTTGGCCGCGGGCGTGTTGTGGTCCACACCAAGAAATCATCCTGGCCCTACAGGCAGCCCCAAATGTGGAAGAGTTTGCGACCCTCGGCCAATGAGGCGTTGAATGTTTACAGCTTGGCTGGTGCTTAAGTTTGGGCATCACCAAAAATGATGATGCCTGCAATGCTTTCAGGCTGTCAATGCGCAGCCAAAGTTTCTTGGATGCCAGCCACACTAACATGACCACTGTCTCTTGTTGTATGCCTGCTCCTTTGGAGGGGCCTTGTCTTGTTGTGAAGTGGTGTTGTATTGTTGTGGACTAGAATGATTGCTGATCCTTGATTGAAAAACTGGGGCATTTTGGTCACGGCGCTTGGAAAAAAGTGCAGCTGCCCTTCCAAGGAACCTTAGGAGTACGCAATGCCATCATCTGAGTCGGCTCACTATAGTAGCCATGTATCAGGAGTGAACCCCACCCAGCGTTGCAAAGCTGTTAATCCATGTTGATCCTGGAATGATGCCCTAAACTTTGAGAATCTGTGATTTGGGAATGGTTTATACCACCTATTTATGGTATGTTAATGTATTTTATGGTATTTTATGGTGATTTGGGGGGGTGGTTTGTTACTGTTTTACCCATGTGAATTCTTTTGGGCTTTTACCGAGGTTTGCTTGGACTCTGGTGCTCATTCCAGGCGGGGTGCAAGGTGGCAAGGTGCTGCCCCAATAACATCCATCGATACTATACTTCATATAATATATACCCTCTGGTAAACTAACATAGCTATGGAAAATAACCATTTTCAATGGGAAAATCCACTATAAATCACCATTTTCAATAGCTATGTTAAATTACCAGAGGGTAGACACTAAATATATCTGAATATATAAACTATAGATCAATCAATATTAATCATGATTAGTTCATATACGAATATTTTAACCCAATGAACTATACTTATATCCCCATATATCTCCAAAAAAAAATATGACGATAGTTGTTTGCACTGCCCCATCGGCTACAAAAAAGGGGTACCTCTATTGGGCTACTGAGTTGGTGCGCGGAAAGAACCAGGCAGCTAAGGGCGATGGAGTGACGAGCACCAACATCAAGTGCCCAGCTGCATTTACCCGCAGGGGGATGTGCCGAAGATGGGAAGATCCTCGGAGGGCTTCGTGGAACAGTAAGGGTTGCCACTAATTATTTTAGTAGGATTTCCCTGTTCGACCCTTTCTGGTTGCTAATTCGAATGCCAAAACGAGATTTTCGATGTTGAGAGGGAGAAGCACGAGCAGAAGCTCCAGAGCCTTGCTGGAAATCAAGCTGGCTCTGCAGGTTCCATGAAGGCATCTCAAGAGATGCAAAGTGGAAGAACAACGGCTTGGATCCTCAGATGTTCTTTCCAATTACCCTCTGGTAATTTAACATAGCTATTGAAAATGACCATTTATAGTGGATTTTCCCATTGAAAATGGTGATTTTCCATAGTTACCGTAAATTACCAGAGGGTAAAATCCATTGCTGTTTCAATGGGACAATTCAGAACATATCCTGACTAGGGGCTGGAAGAATGGGGGTTCAGATGCCACTGCTAATGGGCAGCTTTCCGTGCAGCTTGAGGTCATATGGGCATCACCTTGTGGATGCTGCTGGGCTTAAGATGGCGTGATGATCCTAGTTTCCATGTAGTTCCAGGTGCTGAAAGTTGGTTTACTTGACCAGTGTTTGCCGGTTTAACCTTGGCTGGATAGTTTAGTACCTTGATTAATTTTGGCCAATGTTGACTTTGCATGACCAGCTATGTTTGTGTGGGTGCAGGGTATCTAAGTTTGGCCATGTTGGGGAATTCGACTCTCCAACAGCCACCCGGCCACCCCAAAGGTTGAAATTCTTGCAATGATTTGGCGGCATCGGTGAAAGGCTCCAGGTCTCCAATAGTATAAGAACATGCTGGTACATGCCATGGTTTTGTTGATCCGTTTGCCCAGGGTCCCTAGGGTTCCACAGAATCAACAAACACTGATCACATTATATAGATCGGCCTCCATCATCACAAGTTGTAGCTTGAATCTCCCTTGTTGTTGATAGAGGTTCTTACTGGTTAAATTACATGAAAACACTTTATATCATCGGAAACATGTGTATGTAGAGGGAGAGACGGAAAGAATAACATGAATGGCATAACATCACAGCAAAGTTCAAAGTGCATAACACCATTTGGGCGAAAAAATATAACACACACACAGAAAAAACACATGCATGGATTATGACAACCTCGTTGCAGCGTCATTGGAGTGAAGGTTAAAGTTCGGGTAGCTATCCCAAAATGTCCAAAACTTTCAGGTTGGTGAACATCTATTAGTTCCCTACCATTCCCTTATATAATGACTTCACCATCATGTCCCCTTAGTTATTTTAGTTCTCTATTATTTCCCTATTATGTCCGTATCAATTCCCTATTTTCACAATTACATTACTTCCCGCTCTGTTATTCACTATTTTGTCCCTATGATTTCTCATTACGTCCCCATTATTCACTATTATTTCTCCCTTCTTTGTTGCCCCTATGATTTTCCTATGTTCACAGCTATTTCCGATGATCCCCCTATGATTTCCCCATGACCAATGGCATCATTGCAGGACTGGTCTGTCGGGCAGCGGCAAGAGCACCATAAGCGCCGCTAGATGGGAGACTTAGCGCCCGCCCAACTGATCCAAATTTGGGATACCCTCTGGTAAACTAACAAAAAGCTATTGAAAATCACCATTTTTCATGGGAAAACTCACTATAAATGGCCATTTTCAATAGCTACGTTAAATTACCAGAGGGCAATCGTTGAAGCAGAAATGGGACTCAACATATCTTAGTCTTATTATGATTCAATTGATTCAATCATGAATATATCGGGATGGCAGTAGAACTGGGTAAATCAATTGGTGAAGGATGGAAGAGCATGAGCCAGAAACGGGAGATTTTCTGGCATTTTTCTCGAACTCTTGATTTTATAAAGTTGCGCAGGTATCAGTCGCCAGGTATCGCCAGGTGTAGGGTAGGATCAATCCCGTAATGCTGCCCATAGGGACTGGCGATAAGTTCAAGTACCAATCAACTTCCAGTCCAGGTGACATGTGCATAGCCACGAAGTGATGCCCCCGAGGTATAAGGTGACTTATACATGCCATTAAGCTCTTGATAAAATATATCTATCATAAATCCTATTCAGCCTAGTTCTGAATCAACTTAGCGAAGTATTACAGTAACAACCATGGTGATGGCATCTACCAACAAACCGGCTACCGAAGACATGGAAACATCACCGGTGGGGGTACCAAGAGCCAATACTGTGCTGACGAATCGAACCAGACATTGGGCAGTATTGGGACAAACAAAAGTCGAATAATTAACCAAATCAGAACATTGTTACCCCCAAAATTATTTAATTATTCAATACTCAACCATTGTTGGCCAATAATTGGTTAATTATTTGGTAGTTACCCCAATAATTGGCCAATAATTTTTCAGGGCCAAAAAAAAGCCAGATCTTCGGACCATTCTTCGTATTGGCCATCCCAGGCTTGTGATCAAAACTCTGGCTTGGAATGTGAAATGGTGGATCTATGGGGTCCATTCGTGGGGTTTTAATATTGAAAAGACGGGACTGCTAAAAGTGGGGTATGTCTGGTATTCCAATGTGCTATACGGGTTTCGCTAATCGTTTCGCATATTTTCTCAGAATGGCAAGTTTGGCGTGCGTAGGTCCATTTTTGTGAAAAAAACGAACACATCCGAATCCTTTTTTGACGCTCTGTAAGGTTTTGCATGGTTTTGCGTTGCATAATGACTCAATCAACGCGTACCTCTCCCTAAAGACATGTATTTACGAAGGCGCACCCTAAAACTCTCAATAGCCCTGAATGGTCAAACGTGCTCCAGGGCACTTTTTTCTGCTCTGTTTGCCAAAAACGTGTTTTCTGGGAAACAGCTCACTTTCTCCAGTCTCGAGCAAGTACTGTACTAAGTATGGTGAGTTTATCGTGTTCCTATTTTTTTGGGGGTGACATGGTGACTATTTGACCTGAAGTGAATAGAATGTGGATTTTAAAAGATACAATTGAGATGCTGGGTGACGACTTTTGACATGTCCATATTCAGTCAGGATGACTAGCTTTACCATTTTTATAGTATATATATATATATTAAATATTTATAGTTACATATTAAATATTTATAGTTATATATATTTTTCAATGTAGCTAGCTAGCTTATGAATCCAGCATCGAGGATTTAAAACTTAACTAGTTCGACTTTGACTAGGAATGACGGTGAATGTATAGGGGAATCATCCCCATAGGCCGCAAGTTTCATACATATTACCCAGCTCTGATTTATCTACTTATATCTATTATCATCTATTATCTATAATGATAAAGATACATATAATTATATATATATACATATGAATATGGTATAATATATATATATATTATCTATACATATCTATCTCCCTCTCTCTCTCTCTCTATATGTATATAGATATAGATATATATATATATACATATATATATATGGTGTATATTCCCATGTTCTGGTTGGTGTACATCCCCCCTGGGTGAAACAGGTGGCCTTAGAACGCGCCTTGGCAGAGAATCAGGCGAAGAGTTACTTTGTGCCGGGAATCTCAGGAAGGGCGTTCTTTTTATTGATGGTTATTGTTATAGATTATGGTCACCCAATTATTTAATATCTATGTTTTTTGATGTTAAAACATAATTCATGGCTTGTTATAGATTGTGTTTCTTCTTGGTTTATTATGATTAATGGTTTTTGTTGTAGATTAACCATTTATTAATGGCTTGTTTTTGTTTTATAAATATGTGTTTATATTCGATGGCCATAAATGTATTAATATCTATAACAAAAACCATTAAACAAACATAAACTGTTTTGTTAAGACATGGTTTTAATATGTTTTTTAATATTCAATGGCCATTTCAGGAACCGATTGATTGGAGGTACCTACCATAAACAAGGCCGGGCCTATGGCATTTTGTTCAAGGTGTCGGTGAGGCCGTTTGGGTCGTTTGGCTTGGCCCATAGATGGTTAGGAAAAGGGCAATCGCGACAAATTCATGGGATGTCATGGGAATTGACCATCTAAAAAAATGGATCATATTTCAGATTCCCATTACAGAATCCAACTTTGAGCCTGCAAGTTTCAGACTACATGTATTTCAAACATATTCCCAACTACAAAAACCATTGGGAGCGTAAGATGGTTATACAATGCATATAAAGATCGTCTATCTACCTATCTGTATCTTTTTGTAAATACATATAGTCTATATGTTTGACATCACCAATCCATGGCCTTTCACCAGCTTGGGGTTACCTCATAGGTACAGGCTGGATGGCGATAACCTGCGTTTCGGCCTGAACAGGTGGAACTGGCTGGTTGTTGTTGGCAATGCCCAAAGGTTCCTATGAAAACGACGACCAGAACATCGTTGTAACTGTTCACACACATATTTATTTACATTGAGCATTTCCCCAATGTTCAAAGACATCCAAAGATCAAAGACATCCAAAGACATCCAAGTGTTTTGGTTAAGTTTGATTTCAATCAAGTCGGGTTTGGTTTCCTGTTTGTTTTTGGCCATGGGAAGGTTGGACATGATATGAGGATGTTCAACTATCAGTGGGATAATCATGGGAAGAGAACGAGCAACAACCCAATCAATCCTGTCCACCGAATATTAAACACCCCTTGGAAACCTTGGTTTCGTATTGACAGTATTGGATCTATTATATAATAACATTTTTTGGCTCCCATATGATAATATGGGGGTTTAGTTTATTTGGAGAGCGTGCTCAATTGGGGGCCCCATTGTTGCACGTAGTTGACTGAGATTCTCGAGGACAAACGTTTCAAACTTTTGGGGCGTGTGCTCAGACGGCCAAGTTCGGTTTATGAGATTTTAGTATTGATATCAACCTGATATTCTACCATTTTGTCCGTTTTTCCTGCGGCTTGTTGTGTTGTGATGGCTTCTCTGGGCGCATCTCAGCCGCCAGGGATTTGGGCTTCAGCCCGCAGGACCGGAAGGAAAATGTCCGACGAGTGTCGGAGGTGCCATGTGGTTGGGATGTTGCCCAAAAAGATTGGATTCTAAAGTGGGCAATGTGGATGCACCATGATTTACCCTCTGGTTATGACTAACATAGCCATGGTATAGATGGCCCATAGAAATAGATGGTTTACCGTTCTTGAAGATGGTGGATCTTTCCATGGCTATGTTAAATAACCATGATTGAAGTATTATTTACGACCAAATACGATACATAGGGTGTATTTGCTGGGCTTAACCCTGTGCGTATTTGTTTGCCATAGCCACTTAGGAACCATCACATTATTCCGAACGTATCCAAACCTTAGTTTCATCGGCTGGGTCTGTCCATGACATGCGGTCCGGTACATGAAAGGATGTTTTTTGTGATCTCGGGATGGGATAAGTTTAATGGATAAACTTGTTTGCGGTTTGACAGATTGGTTGCTGTTCGATCCCAATGCATCTTATTGATCACATATACGTATATATATATATTATTGTTTCAGCAAAAGTGTCGTCAATAGTGTTGAATGTTTATGTTATTTTTCAGATGATTCGTGATGGATGAAAAACATCATATAAGGGGTATACTATTTCATTGTATAATCCATCTTCAAAAAGTTGGGATTGCTTATCGAGTATAGACACTGGGTAAGGTTGGTTCATGTTAGTTCATGGTTCAAGTTTCAGCCGTTAAAGACAAGTGCTGATATCGCCTGCGAGTAGGAGCCATCAGCAAGCAGTGGCATTCGCTCAATCACCTTTGCCACCATATATGGGGAGACTATAAGCAACAGAAGCGTGGATGACCCCCATTGGGGATTTACAGTAATATTACGTTTAATGATGTTTACCCTCTGGTAAACGTTGACATAACTATGAAACATCACCAGTTTTAATGGGTAAATCAACTATTTCTATGGCCATTTTCAATAGCAAACTGTTGGTTTACCAGAGGGTAACGATCGTTACAACTGCATCTTTGCAGTACAGTACAATATGTGACTTGTGATCATGTTTTCAGATTGCCAACATCATGTGGTATATAACAGTATGTATACAGTAATGTGGGAGAGCCAATGTCATAAACAAGAGCCCGTTTGGGGATGGTCTATTCCACCCATTTATTGTGATGGTGGGGGTGATTTCTGGGTTTCCCACATTAGATGCGGTAGAAATCTGGTAGAAACCATGCGAATTTCGGCTTTGAAACTGCCAAGCGACTGCGGTCGCCAGGTGTCCAAGCTCTTTGCAGAGGCCTGCAGGGTGAACAATGATCACCTGATATCCCCATAGAATCCCCCATAGAATCCCATAGAATCCCATCAAGTTGATGGTTTAATCATGTTAAAACCAGTTGAGTTTCGCTTCAGAGACAGTGGGCCTTCAGTGGACGTCTCAATCAACTCACTGAAGTCGGTGAATTCCTCTGTTTTTTTTGGTAGATGACTTCAACCAACGGGTTCCCATTGCCATGGCTGCCATGTTGGATGTCACGATGTCACCAGAGAGAAACAATGATGTCAAGAGGCACCGAGGCACCCAAGAATTCCAAGAATCCCAAGACTGACCAAAATGGGGGAGCTCCGGCACAAAGAATGTGTAGATAGTTTGCTTCCAAAATCCATGCCATTGATCAATTTTATCAATTGGATAGTTGTAGACTCTGTAGACATTTGGATAGCTGTCCAAACTGCTATGCAAAGATGTTCCAAAGAATACCTGGAATCCAGAGTTCCTAAGCACCCTAAGCAGGTGGCCAATAAGCCCATGAAACCATATTGGTCCATCATGATCTATCCCGGTGGGGATGTTATAAGCGAGCATAAGCGTATGCAGTACGCATAATATGTTCTAATATATATATATATATATATGTTGCATAATGCAGAGCGTAAATGTAAACCTCAATAAACAATAATAGACATATATTATCATATATTCGCATCAGTTTTTGCCAGATAAGCGCGGGTTTAATCAACAGATCTGGAGGTTTCCTAAATATGGCTACCGCAAATTGCAAACCATTGTTATTTCTCCCTTTCTGGGTCGACCATGGCTAGATACGAACTAGTACTTCATAATAGTTTGCTTTGGTAACATGTAATTTCACCAGCTCAACGTTTGATTTGTTCGGGTATCATCACTATGCATATTATGATATGATTATGAACTATTTTGATCTTATTTGGGTATCATGTGCTGGTGGACACACACACATATATATATATAAATATATAATCTACTGATCAACAAGATCAACAATACCAACAATAAGCATCCAGAAAGGATCTAAGAATCTATAGGTTTTTATTGTCACAACAAAGAAACATCTAAAACCATTCCCCAAATCACCATAAATAGGTGGTATGTTTACCATTCCCAGTCTTGGGTGGTTTATGGCATTGTTTTACCCACATTAACTAAATACCTATGGTTATGCCCACACACACACGGATATATATATATATAATATAATAAAAATCCGTTTTTTTCACGATAAACATCTACATACATCTACACTAAACCAAAAAATGGTTGATGTTTTGCTCAGTCTTGGGATGTTTGAGGTCGCATCATCCCCCTGCTGCGGGGTTTGGGGTTCACACCAGGCTGGCGCCATCGTGGTGGCAGGCCTCATCTCGCCCTATGCGGCAGACCGAGACTATGCGCGGGAGGTGGCAGCCGCAGCAGCCGCGGTGTGTGAAGAGGGTAAGGGTTGAAGCTGGTGAAGAGGGAAGAATTAGTGGATGTTTGGTGATTTATGGTGATTTTATGGAATTGATAGCTCTAAATTTTAGAGCTGATTTATCATAGCTAAGTTGGTTCATGACTGGTTTTTACTAGGGTTTATACCTGGAAGATCATCTCAGTAACTGCTTAGTGACCACATAGCCCCTTATGAGACGTGATGACCAGGGGTACCAACTTACTAAGTGGGATGATCCTTCAAGTAGGGGTACACAAATGGCGTATAGGGGTACTTATATGATATACGAGTTAACATTAACTCCGTGGGCATTATAAGGCAACACTACAATTATTGGGGATTAACCAAGGTAGACTGTTAACTATATCTATTGACTTTAGGGTTTGCAGGAGATACTTAAATAAATACAACTATTCATTCACTTAATGGGGTATCATGAAGATTGTCAAATGGAGAACCAATTGTAGTCGTTCGCTGGTGAATAATAACCCCATTAGGATAGGGGATACTTAAATGGATACAATTACAAGTACTTAAAGGATCTTAATGGGGTTTATAAACAAACTTATGACTGGGGGGAGGTCAATGGCACCTTGGTGCAGCAGTTTGCAAAGTTAGAACTGCAACGAGGGTTTTTATTGGCTTTTCTAAGTATATTGTTACCCTCCGGGAATCAAACGTGGCTAGCTGGGAAATCTCCGAAAAAGATGGAGGTTTGAAAGGGAACATCATCTTTCTGAATGGTGGATTTTCTGGATTTTCCATTGCCACGTTTGATGACACCGGAGGGTAGATGATGGGTAATCCACGGCAGCATGGGGAACGTGTCATTGTACCTCTTGATTTCACATGTTTCCCCCTTTTTAACAGGGGTGTTGAGAGCAACCCTGGGGGGAAATGAGAATAGAATGCACATACACACGTATAGAATCGTGTGTGTATATATTTAATTATATTACATATTTAATTTTATATATTGTATATTATATATATATATATTTGTATATTTGTTGTTTTTTTGAAATATAATGATTATATATATCCTAAAATGGGCGCACCCCTGAATCATCCAAATTAGATAATTTTAGTATTCAAACCTATGGTGACTTGGGGATCTTCCGTTTTAGGAAACCCCCATATCGGCAATTACATATTTTGACATGCCAATACCACTCCAATGGATTGAAGCAGACAAAACCATCCAGCTTGGAACTAGCGGAAAAAAAGATCAGGTGCACAAAAACGCTTCGTTGCCCTTCATGGAAGTCTTCGTAGACGCTCCCCTCGCAGCTGTGGAGAGCCGCGATCCTAAAGGGCTTTACAAGTCGCTTAGCCTGCAATTTTTGGGGGCACCTTTGGGAGGCCAAAGATCTCTGGTTGGTTGAAGCATTGGTTTGATCTATTATATATATATACTATATATACACTATATATATATTTACTATAATATACTATATATATATACATACTATATATATACTATATATATATACACTATATATATACACTATATATATATATATAGTATATATATATAGCATATATATATATAGTATATACATTTGCATGCAGTAAATATTCAGCATTCAATGGTTGAAAGATCATGTTTTGGTGGGTAAACTTTTAGCTACTTGGAATTCGATGTTGTTGATGATCCTGACTGCTCTGCGATATCTATTTGAGTATGAGTCAAAGTTCGTGGACTGAAACTAAGAATGACTGGGTATTGGCAAAACCCCTCCCCCCAGTATACATTCAAATCCTATGGTTATCTATGGTTTAATCTGAATGGGTCAATTTAAGGGCATATATCCAGTTAGTTATTCCGCAGTTCAGGATGGTTAAGCCATGGGTTCAACTCACCATTTGGCAAAAATGGGGATTTCACTGCCCCAGCCGACAATGGAAATGAAAGGGTTTCCTATGCTGAAAGTGACCCACACTGATCCACAAATGGCGCATGTTCCGTAATTTAACATAGCTATTTAAAATTTTTAAAATGGCCATAGAAATAATTTATATACCCACTAAAAATTGTGATTTTCTATAGTTATGTTTATTTACCAGAGGGTACCCGTGTATAGTTCTTACTCAAGGGTATACTCGTAAATACTGCACCAGCCTTATTCCAATAGCCCCCGCATGTACAGTAGTTCTGCGCATTTTAGATGAAATGGTCTTGGCCCCTTGGACGGACAATACAAATCTGAAAGACATTTAAAACATATGTGACTGTATATAGATCCCGTGTGAGCCATTTGCAAAAATCCAACCTGTTGATTGTTTACATTTATTATAAGGGTTATAGTGCCATTTTTTGTGAATGATATAATTGAAAACTGATAATGAGATACCGTTCTTAACCAACCAGTACTGTCCCGTTGATGCTGCTACAGGAAAGCACGCGAGGGCAAGATCAAGGGCTTCACAGGTATCGACGCACCCTATGAGAAGCCCGGGACCCCTGGAAACCCAGGTGGTTCATAGGTCCGCCTGGCGTATCCTGGCGCGTGGTGTCACAGGTTGCCCTGGGGAAGAGAGCCAGCCATAAGTCCTAAGTTCATGATCTTCTGACCTCCAGTAGAGGTATACCGTGACAAACAGAAGAGATCCTCTACCAATCTCTAGCATCACTTCAGGGTGAAGCCTAAGCCTCCCCATTTTCGCTGGTTAATGTCTCTTTCTTTGTAGGTTGGTATCGCATAGTATCCCCATTGTTTTTGCTTCATATAGCTCCAATGAGCATGCTTCAACTCATTTAAAATCCCGAATTTGTTGACTTCCACCAGGTTAATTCCACAAAAAAAAAAATCCGTATACCGTAGCCTTCACCTTTTTCGGAGGGAAACCCACTTGAGTAAGTCTCTTTCGCATTTGGGGGGGCTCCAGCCCAACCAGCCCCAAGTCTTTGTGGACGACGTGGCACTTTTGGGCTCGCAGATGGCCGCCGTTTTTGATAGCTCTCCTCCCGGCCTGGCCGCTGGCGGCACACACGAGGACACCGCAGCGATCAAGGCCAACATCATCCAGGAGAGCGAGCGAGCACCTGAAACGAAACTTCGTCACTTGGGAATTTGGCACTGAAAGACATCTACAAGTAATTTGAGGTACCAAATCTAATGTTTATATATATATATGTTTTATAATATATGTTTTATAATATGTATATATATATATTGTATTATGTGTTTTTGAAATATATACCGTGTATGTATATATATATAGATGTTTCAAATGTATTTGCAGTACATGTGCAATAGATGTGTGTAGATGCATATTCAATATTCGATGATACACACATGACATATTGTGGCAAATAACCCGTCCTCCGGCCACCAGGCCCCCCCTGAATGGGATGTTATCTAAATGATATGGATACAGTAGATACACCATGATAGCATCAGCGTGGCATATGATGCCTCTGCGATAGGATGTGCAAGGGAGGCTCCTCCAAGCCAAGCGTGAAACCGAACAAAAGGTGGCGGCTGAGCTGCCACTTGGCTGCACAAACCTAAGCCACCAGATGTTGGGCTTGCATGGGCTTCCAAAGAGCAACAAAAAACGGTGTGCAAACAATTACAGATATTGTATGAATGGTACCAACCAAGAAGAATCGGAGTCCCAGCTTAGACAATTTCAAATTTAGAGGTGTGGATCCTTATTTTTTTTCGGCCATGGAAGATCTGTGAAGATCTCCTGGGCCTGTAGGCGTTGGTAAGGGCTGTGTGAAATTGCTAGAGGGACAGTTCACTTTCAGAGTTTGCGTTTCAGGCGAGAGGGTGATGGATGGTCAATCTGGGTGAATGCCTGGTGGATGGTTTCAGTTTTAGTTTTTTTTTTGGTTTTGGTTTTCAAGTCCCCGAGAAGGGGGTTTGCTTGGAATGGCAGAAGTTTCCTGCTGTAGTCTGGATTTCAACGATCACCTTAGATGGTTGTCCAAGATGATCCTTCAAATGGTATCCACTGATTGGTTGCTGTTTGCATTAAGTTTTTGGATAGGGGAACAATATATGCGCATACAGCATACAAGAATAATTACTTTATGTGTGATCTACAGGAAATAGATAGATAGACAGACAGGTAGATAGAACCTATATCCGCCCTTTGGGGTGTTCTCAGGTTAGTTGGTTGTACAGTGCATTCGAAATCCGGTGGCAACCTGCGCCCAGGAAGTTTTTGCACAATGCAATGCATGAGATGGATCAACGTCCCTAGGAAGGGATAGGAGGGATAGGGATAGGGTGTTGTGACAAGTTGGTGACAAATGACACGCCTGAAACTGGAGTTTGACCAAGGATCTATGGCTTTAAGCAGAAACACCAGATTATTTTTTGCCACATGTGGATTGGCAGTGGGGATACACCAACCATCGATGAGGTGAAATCCGAATAAGGGAACCATGTTCGTTCGCTAGAAACATCTTAGTGTCAGAAGCTCACATCAGAGAGCTGGTGAGGGATAGAACGATAGAACTATAGAACCCCAAAAAATCATACGGTCTACGTAAGCTGGGCAGCTGGGCTGGTGGTTCCGGCAGCGGTTTCAACATGTTTCAACGCCGGCGAACATCCCGGGATCATCCCTGTGGCGACGGAAGTGCTGTGAAAAATTTGGCCATGGGGCCGGTGCCACATAGTCTGCTAAGTTGATTTATGACTCCAATATATATATATATAATATAATATAATATAATATAATATATAATATAGTATAATAAAATATAATATAATATATAAATATAACTAGGTTTTATGCTAGATAGATCTATAGTTGACGGGTTTTATAAACCTACAACTTTGCGGCACCCTGGCCTGGATGTTGAATTCTCTCAAGGGGCACCTTTTTGTTAAGCCTCGACCCAGAATGATAGCTATGTTTTGATGGGAATCCCCAAAAAATTTTGCGTTTTTTTGCGGTCCTCTGGTCATATTTGGGAATCATAGCCTCTGGTAATCCAACATAGCAACATAGCTATGGAAAATGACCCCTGATTGCGTAGATTCATCAATCCCTTTGATTCAGAAATGCTGAGATTACCACAGAATCACTGCCCAGGTTTGGACATGTTGAATCAACGCCTCGAAGAAGTGCAGATCCTTGGTGGATGCCATGGTTGTATACATCATGATACGTTAATAAGATTTATACCCTTTGGTAAATTAACAGTTTGCTATTGAAGCCATGGCCATAGAAATAGTTGATTTACCCATTAAAAATGGTGGTTTTCCATAGCAAACTGTAACAAAATTGCCATTTTGTGTATATCACGTGACCGCCTCCACCCCCAAAAAAAATGTGGACTCGCAGATGACGATCACCTTCTTGAAAAACGATGCATCGCTTGGGTTTAAACTTGTATGCCTAGAATCAAACACACACATGCAGACATACACCCATAATATATATATATATACACTGTATTTTACATATCATGTATATCTAGATGTATGCAAATAGGTGCGCTCCGAAGATTCCGAAGCAACATGAACATCTGGTCCAGATGCCCAGGATGCCGCAATCCGAGATGTTGGAGGACACTCATGTGATCCAATCCTTGGCCAAAGTGGAACAGCAATGGGGCGCTTCGTCGGCATCGGTCATGGATTGGTTTTGTGGATTGGGGCCCCACAAAAAATCACAGGATGGGTCAGGGTGAGAGTTCTAATGGAGAAACAGCACTGAAGAAGATGGAAACCAACCTCTTCGGTTGTTTTTCCGTGTTTGAACTGGATCATGATATTTTCAACACACCAAGGGAGCTGCGTGAAGTCAAGCTTGGATCAAACTCCAAAAGACCAGCAATCAGACTATTCCATCAAGATCAGAATTTGAAAAGACAACCAAAAAGGATTTGGCAAAAGAATGGACTTAGCACTGGCAGTGTAACTGTCGTGTAGCCAAACAATGAAAACTCGACCGCCTTTCCCGCATGATTTCCAGATCGTCCCTTGAGACCATGCGATTTTTTTTAAGCGTTGCGATAGCGATGTCATCATTCCAAAACGGCCTTGCAAATGGATCCACAAATGGATCCACAAATGGATCCATTTGGATCCATGCTGGGAGCCCAGTTGTCTTTCGAACTTTATGAATTGGCAGGTAAGGAGCTGGGGAAGCTGAAAACGGAGTTGCATCAGATGATCTTCGCGTCTCTTGGCTGAACCCAAGAAATGGGATGGTTTACAATCCCGAAAAAATGGCCTATAGCCTATAGCCCATTTGTTGTTTCCCATGTCAAATTATGTCAAATTCAATTGTGACATATTGTGACCCAACATATGAGCCTTAAAGCCCTTTCTCCTATTTGTTCTGCATGTTTTTAAGCTTATGTGTGTTTTCTATAGCCGCCATTCTTGACTGAGCAACTGTGATTAGCTGCGCAGACCAAGGCACAATCACAATGCTGATTTGATGAAGCATCAGAAGGAGCGTTGTAAAAGATTTGGAGGAACTTGCATGTGCAGCCAATTTGCTAATTGTTTCTAGGTCAATAACAACGGATATAACTATAACATCTATAACCAAGGTCTAATACTGAATAAAGCCAAGTTTCAACAAGATTGATAAAACATATTAAAACATTATAAACCCAAGTTGTATGTGACGTGACATAACCCCCAGACATCAGGGTTCTCTTTCCAGCGTTAGCGATCTTGATATAAATTCACATACGGTAGCTACTATATATTAAACTATATATAGATAGCTATAGTATGCTACGGTATTCATGGGGCTTATACCCTCTGGTAAATAAACATAGACCCTGAAAATCACCATTTTTTAATGGAAACTAGTCTTCCAACCCCGACAACTGCCAGGGTCTATGTTAATTTACCAGAGGGTACCATCTGGTTATTTGTTACATAGCCATGGAAAATCACCATGTTTAAGAACGGTAAACCATCTATTTCGATTAGGGCCATTTCCCATGGCTATGTTAAATCACCCTCTGGTAAACTAACATAACTATGGAAAATCACCATTTTTAATGGGAAAACTCACTATAAATGGCCATTTTCAATAGCAAACTGTTAGTCATAACCAGAGGGTATAATGTTTATAAACCAAGCAACATGAAAAACCAGGGAAAACCCACCTGGCAGGACACCTTGGATAAGATTCGGCACGACAGCCTGTCTCGAAGTCCTGGATCTGGCGCCACGCAGATCTCGAATGCCCGCAGCATGTTGGCCACTGGGCAGGGCATAGATGGCGACTGGATTTCTAGTGGCCAGGACGACGATCAAAAAAAAATATATATATATATATATATACACTAGTGTATGCATAACTATTTATATAGTATATCAGTATATATCTAGAATGATCTCTATTTATGAGTATGTTGTGTATACAATAAAACACACATATATATATAGTTTTATAGAGTTTATACGTGTATATGTATATCTATATATATATACCTATATATATATATCCATATAATCTATGTATTACGTATGAGTATACATGTATATAGTATCAATATATATGTATATCTAAATGTACATATATGTATTATGTGTGCATATTGATAAACATTGGAAACACACCAAGAACCAATCTCGCCTCGAAGTCAAGGCCAGTGCCGACGCCCGTATCAAAGCCATCCAGGTTGAGCCGGGCGTGCCGGGCCAGATTCATGGGCCCCGGTGTGGCAATCGTTTTTTCCATGGGGAAACGGGGGGTTAAAACCATGGGGAAAACGATGATGAACATAGTATTACTGAAGATTCATGGATTCCCCATGGTTTTCCCCATGGTTTTCCCAATGATTCATGTATTGGGATTCACCAATGATTTTTTTTGGGACCTTGATTTGCTTCAATCCGGAGGCAAGCCTTGACCATCGAACATGGAGATTGAATCAGCCAAGATTTGGATTTAACAGGCCAACGTGTAGACCGAACCAGTCAAAACTAGAGGATTATATAAACCACATTGAAACCATGAATATTTGGATTTTTTTTTGATGTGTTTCTATGAAGTTGATTCAGATTGGGTTTGTCCGGTCAGATGTGGCATGTCCCAAGATTGCAAAACCATAAAAAGCAGTATAGTTAAATCATTTAAATCATTAGGTATGCATGGGTCATGATTAGGGACACCAAGGCTTGGACCCTCGAAATTTAGCACAAATAAACATCGGCGTTGCATCAAGTCTTCTCTCAGTTGTCCGGCCGGTAAATCCCCGAACTAGCCATGGAGGTTAATAGCTTGAAACATCGAAGTATCCATGTTTGAAGGGTAGATGTTCCCCCAAGAAATTTTGAGGCTAGATGATGCAGATGGTTCCCCAAGAAAAGCGTAGCCCCGTGGTGTCTTGCAGGCGAACTTCCAGAAAATGGACCCCTTGGTTCCCAGAGTGACAGCTCTTGAGCTTCGACTCCATCATTGGCACGCGGCCGGCGGCTTATCAGGGCCGCCTGCGATGGGAGCCCCGCCGCTGGGTGCCTATGGATTTGAGCCCAGGCTGGGGGTTGCCAAACTCCTCCCAGATGCTAGCTGCTAGCTATTGAAAATTGCAATTGTGTAGCGGATTTCCCAAGAAACAATATTTGTTTACCGGAGGCTAAGCAGGATTTTTTTTTGTTTTTTAACGCGCGTGTTTTTTCTCCTTTGGGGGGTCCTAATATGTTTTAACATGTTTTAACTTAGTTTCTATTCAGACTATTCAGACCTAACGTCAGTGCTGGTTGTTGAATTATTGGGAAGTCGGTTCTTGATTTTCCATGGCAATATATGTTTGGGCAGTGTTTCACTTCTATCTGGAAAACTTACCCAGACACATCATTATTATATCACGAGTGATGGTTAATCAACTGATATATGGTTCATGGATGTTCATGGGATATCACATGAGATATAACACTGACATCATGATGTCAATCACATGAGATATCATGATAACATCTATGGTTCATGATGTTAAAGGTGAATATGAACCCAAATTTACCCAGATGGCATGCAGCAAAAAGAGAGTCTTTCTCGCTCCAGCTGGTGGACATCCGAGATGTTGGTAATTTAGTGCAACAAGAAACCATCCCCAATTGACCATCAATGGGTAGTATAAAACATCAAAATATGGCTGCTTTATACTAAGTAATGCTAACATTACTAACATAAAGCTGGCGATGCAATGTGGAAACAAATGGCTTGGGCGCCATGCATATCCTCCGGCGCCCTAAGAATTTCTACTGCAAGGGCAAAGAACATCAATGAACTAGTTATTCAGTTTTGCTATGTGTTGCTTAGGTTTCAGGTTTGGCAGGTGTGCATATGCATATGTTGGAATAATGTTTTATGCTTATCTTGAATGTTGTAGGATAGGTCATAGGTTATAGACATGATTACTAGAAATTCTTCATACGTTATATACAAATATGTTTAATCATTCAAGCCCGATCAATATCCCAATAACAGCAGTCAGTCATCATTATCGTTTATCATTATACACTAATATAACGCATGATCTATGTGTAATGGTCATATTTGGGCTATATATTATCAGTATCTATCTATATCTGGGACATTCCTACCATTATCAATCATCATGCTTTTTACTCCATTATATTATAATATATATATATTATGTTATTATGTTTTGTATATATATATATAGATTTAATATGAACATGCATATATCAGTTATCATTGTCAGTTTTAAATATACAGTTATCATTGTCAGCTATAGTTAAAAATGCATACTACATATATATATATATATATATATGGTACCCCCCCCCCCTGGTACCTACCTTTCCTTGATTTACACTGTAAATTACAGTATAATTTGCTTATTTTCATATGTTGAATTTGATAGGTTTTTTATATTGAGTTTCTTGAGACATGAGTTCAGGCTTGAGTTCAGACTTGACTTCAGACTTGAGTGTCATAGTCTCGATTCCTGCTACCCAAGATCCAAGATCCAAGATTTCCAGAAAGCTTTTTATATTGAGTCTCTTGAGACATGAGTTCAGACTTGAGTTCAGACTTGACTTCAGACTTGAGTGTCATAGTCTCGATTCCTGCTACCCAAGATCCAAGATCCAAGATTTCCAGAAAGCTTTTCTTGGAAATCTGGGGATAAACCCAAGATCCAAGATCCAAGATTTCCAGAAAACTTTTCTTGGATGCACTTGCAGAATCTTGGATGCACCCAAGATCCAAGATCCAAGATTCCCAGAATTTTTTTCTTGGATGCAGGCTGGAAATCTTGGATGCACCCAAGATCCAAGATCCAAGATTTCCAGAAAACTTTTCTTGGAAATCTTGGGATGAACCCAAGATCCAAGATCCAAGATTTCCAGAAAACTTTTCTTGGATGCACTTGCAGAATCTTGGATGCACCCAAGATCCAAGATCCAAGATTCCCAGAAAATTTTTCTTGGATGCAGGCTGGAAATCTTGGATGCACCCAAGATCCAAGATTTCCAGAAAACTTTTCTTGGATGCACTTGCAGAATCTTGGATGCACCCAAGATCCAAGATCCAAGATTCCCAGAAATTTTTTCTTGGATGCAGGCTGGAAATCTTGGATGCACCCAAGATCCAAGATCCAAGATTTCCAGAAAACTTTTCTTGGAAATCTTGGAAATCTTGGGATAAACCCAAGATCCAAGATCTTGGGTGCATCCAAGATTCTGCAAGTGCATCCAAGAAAAGTTTTCTGGAAATCTTGGATCTTGGATCTTGGGTGCATCCAAGATTTCCAGCCTGCATCCAAGAAAAAAAATCTGGGAATCTTGGATCTTGGATCTTGGGTGCATCCAAGATTCTGCAAGTGCATCCAAGAAAAGTTTTCTGGAAATCTTGGATCTTGGATCTTGGGTTCATCCCAAGATTTCCAAGAAAAGCTTTCTGGAAATCTTGGATCTTGGATCTTGGGTAGCAGGAATCGAGACTATGACACTCAAGTCTGAAGTCAAGTCTGAACTCAAGTCTGAACTCATGTCTCAAGAAACTCAATATAAAAAACCTATCAAATTATACTGTAATTTACAGTATAAATCAAGGAAAGATAGCTTCATCCTTTTGAATCCACCCTTCCTAAAGTGTCAAGCACGTGAACCACGTGGTTCGTGCAAAGTACTGGCTGTAGTTTGCCCAAGTGAGAACTTGTAACGCAGCACTTTGTGCAAAGCCTTCATAGCTTCATCCTTTTGAACCCACCCTCCCTCAAGCATGTAACCGTGATTCGTGCAAAGTACTTGCTGTAGTTTGCCCAAGTGAGAACTTGTAACGCAGCACTTTGTGCAAAGCCTTCATAGCTTCATCCTTTTGAACCCACCCTCCCTCAAGCACGTGAACCACGTGGTTCGTGCAAAGTACTTGCTGTAGTTTGCCCGAGTGAGAAATTATAACGCAGCACTTTGTGCAAAGCCTTCATAGCTTCATCCTTTTGAACCCGCCCTCCCTCAAGCATGTGACCGTGATTCGTGCAAAGTACTTGCTGTAGTTTGCCCAAGTGAGAACTTGTAACGCAGCACTTTGTGCAAAGCCTTCATAGCTTCATCCTTTTGAACCCACCCTCCCTCAAGC